GATTCCTCCTACTTTCATTGACCGTTCCTATTCGAATCAAAGAGTGCTGGATGTCTTACGAGACACACATCACTTGTCTATCCATCTATTTTCTCAGATTTGGTTAAAACGCAAACTGAAATTATTTGGTCACATTCTTCGATCTAGCCCAGATGACCCGCTGCGACAAGTCCTCTTTGAATATAACTCTTTCACACCACGTATAGAGTATCGAAGGCCAGGCAGGCCCCGTACTGATTGGCTGTTGCAGTCATTCAAAGATGCGTTTGCTTTGTTAGGTCGAGCGGATGAGTTTGACTCTAACGTCTTGGAGCATATCCAATTCATAGTACATAGTGCTAATGCCAGACAAGGCGTATTTGCATAAACGCTTGCTTCCTTGCAGGTTCCGGTTCGATCACCGAATGCCGTCAACGAATGTCTTCACCGAATGTCGTCACCGAATGTCGTCACCAATTGCACTCACATACCATGAAAGATAGGTCAAAAACTCTGATGGTGACTCGTTTCAACCATCGAATATACAGTTCTTGTCCTTTGACTGATTCTGTATTTGCACTGTAAATTACCTACTATTTTTATCCACACCCGTCTTCTATACTACCTGCGGCTCATTGTCACGAGGAAGGCTAGCCCGTAGTTAGCTCTGCTGTTCGTCCAATTCGTTCTCCTGAGCCTTCTCTTTGAACTGGTTGTTTTTGAACACGGATAGAGGCTTAGGTTCGGTGCACAGGCTTTTTGTGAGTCTGCACTTGGAAAAAAAATGACCGAACAATTCACTGAAATCCTTCGCACCAGGCAAACTGAAACATCTGAAACTGAACCCTATTTCTTGAGGATCGGGGGTCAACAAACTTGAGAAAACCACAGAAAGCACGAGACTTCACTGTTTTGGGCATGATCAAAGCATTGTTGCCGCCACATGCTGCCGCCAGGCGCGTGTGCAAGTGTCCTTTCTCCAGAGATTGGTTGCTGAGGCATTCCAGGGTGCTGCAGGTTGCTGAATTTGCGGCAGAGCCGAAGCCTCCGAACGGTGCCTTGACAGCAGCGGAGGTTCCCATGGCGGCTTGGTAGCGTTTTGTCGTTGCTTCTATTTGCTTCTATTCGCTTCTTGTCCTTGTGTGTTGTTCAGGTTTTGGTCAGCAAAATTCGGCCAGTTGGTGTCACATTCTACTTTCAACTGCTGTTTGTCTTGCGAAGTGTGTGGCAATATGTGGCAATGTGTCAAAGGTTTGATTCGGTTTGATGTTTTGTTGGCAGAAGGTTTCATAAATATACAGGTCCCTTGCATCTCGAAGGTCCCTCAGAGAAGTTAAGACGAAGATGTACACGGTGTACATAGCACATATAGCACCTGGAGACTTGTTCCAAGGCAAGCCCTCTTGGCTGCACGAGTGGGCCTCAAGCACTGCAGTGGCCCAAGGATGTCAACCGGTAAAACATGATGAAACTTCTGGCACTTGTGGGGATGAAAACGTGAAAGGGGCGTGGGGTGAGATAGTGCAAGTCCGGACTGGGGGATGTTTACGAAGCCAATTTTGGACAATGAAGCTGCCAAATAAGTTTTTGTCGCAATCCACTTGCCAACAAGTGTGAGCATAGATTGAGCAGGAATCGGATTGAATTCGCAGACTTGATTTGGTACTCATGCATGGGATTCTCTGTGTTAACCCCACTGACCCTTTCCAGTGCCATGGTCTTCGGAGACAACATCAAGAATATAGGTTGGATGTTCTTATGATTGTCTCCAGCTACACATGGCCTAAAGGATGTGGCATGTCACAGATGGGTATGCTTCACCACAGAGTTGGTCATGTGTTCGTTCAGAATGAGCTTATACTTCTCAACATCTCCGTATTTCAGGTCGCTCCAACCCTCCAAGCATTTTGAAGAGCAAATGTTCCGCGCATCTTGTGGCTGCCCAAGACATGAACCGGAAGGCCTGGCACATGGGGTGGCTGAGCAATGTTTGCGAAACCGCTTGATGTTTCTTGCTTTGGTGTTTCATGTGAGCCGCTGTCAATATTCTTGGCATAGTTAATATTTAATAAGGAGTCTAAGGTGAGCCACGATCCATCAGTTTGGAGGAATGAAACATACATCTCTAGAAGATGTATTTTAATATTAAGCACGAAAACATGGTATAATATTGAAATGATCTTGACAGCTACCAATGCTCATGCCCATGGGCATTTAGACGGCCCCGGCTCCGGCAAGAAATTTCAATAAATTATTTTTCTATATCAACATATCAATGCTTCATTTTGGAGAGGCGCATAGTCCATAGTAAAATCTGATGAAAGTTGAAGTTCTACCCCTCAACCTGAACTCTTAGCAAGATCACGTCACATCTGTAGCAGCCTTCGACATCGTTTGAACATGAATTTGAGAAGGGGAACTTTGTCAGCTGCATTGACCTGCAGCTGCAATTAGCTCCCGCGTTTATTTAATCTTTGCTGATTGTGTCCCCATTATTTGTTGCTTAAAGACCCATGGAACAGCATCATTTCCTCGCGTTTGTTTGCCTTCCCATCAGGCAAAGTTCTCCTCGGCTTGACAAAGTGGTCTTCGCGCAAGCTTCCCAGGGTGTCCAAAAGGGGATTCCGGGCCAAAGGTGCCTTTAGGTGCATCCTGTGATCAAAAATGCGCTGCCCAAGTCCTTTGGGGTCACCAAAGGGTACTGGTCAGGCTTGGGTCCCTTCAAAATTGGATCGTTTCAACAGCATGATCTAACAGCAAACATTTATCCCGAAATGACCACAATCTGTGGTTCCATGGCGCCTCATGTAGAAGAGGTAATCCCCATGAGTTTCGCCATCTCAGTTTGACTGAGCTCACAAGGACTGAGCCATCAAGGGTACAGCCTATTATAGCCTTCACTTGCTGAGTAGCGGACAGATACAGATGAAAGAGAGAGAGAGAGAGAGAGAAGACCTCAAGCACCTTTCGGTCCATCAGTGGATTCGCTCTGCCATCCCTGATTCACAACAACCAATCTCTCCTATAGGTTTCCTATTTTTGAAACTTCCGCCCCCGCCTTGTGCGGTACTACTGGTAATTTATCCAGGTTTGGCCCTGTAGAACCAAAGGTGGCAAAACAGCGGGTTCAAAACCGCGCAAATAAGCTCTAGGAAGCCGGGCGGGCGGGCCCCGAACCAAAGGTGGCAAACGTCAGTTTCGAAACCCTTCAAAGAAGCTCTAGGAAGCCGGGCAGGGGGAGCCCTGTAGAACGAAAGGTGGCAAACGTCAGTTTCGAAACCCCTTACAAAGCCGAGCAGGTGGGCCCTTTGTAGACCTAAAGGTGGCAAGCAATTTCGAAACAGGCGAGCAGGTGGGCCCCTCTATAACCACAGGTGGGAAACCGCAGCATCGAAAACCTTAAAGGATGCCTGGCGGGGCCTTGTAGAACCCAAGGCGGCAAACAGCAGCTCATGCTTCGAAGACTTGACAAGGTTGGGCAGGCCTTGCACACGTGCGGTGGTCCCAGGCGCCGCCCCGCCTAGGCCAAAGCTAGGCAGGGGTCGGCAGACATCGATGCGTAGAGGAAAGTCTGACAAAAAAAGTTTGATGGAGATAAGTTGGATGGTACTAAGTTTGAAAGGGGTAAGTTTGATAGATGTAAGTTTGACAGAGATAAACTTGATACGGGTAAGTCCGAGAGCGAGAGAGAGAGAGAGAGAGAGAGAGAAAGAGAGAGAGAGAGAGTGAGAGAGAGAAGGTTTGACAGAAGTAAGTCTGATAGAGATAAATTGGAGGATTTTTGAAGAGGCAAGTTTAATAGCCGAAAGTTGGACAGAGATAAACTTGATACAGGTAAGTCCGATAGATTAAAGATAAGTTTTAGAGATAGAGAGAGAGAGAGGGAGAGAAGGTTTGACAGAAGTAAGTCTGATAGAGATAAATTGGAGGAATTTTGAAGAGGCAAGTTTAATAGCCGAAAGTTGGACAGAGATAAACTTGATACAGGTAAGTCCGATAGATTAAAGATAAGTTTTAGAGACAGAGAGAGAGAGAGAGAAGGTTTGACAGAAGTAAGTCTGATAGAGATAAATTGGAGGATTTTTGAAGAGGCAAGTTTAATAGCCGAAAGTTGGACAGAGATAAACTTGATACAGGTAAGTCCGATAGATTAAAGATAAGTTTTAGAGACGGAGGGAGAGAGAGAGAGAGAGAGAGAGAGGGAGAGAGAGGGAGAGAGAGGGAGAGAAGGTTTGACAGAAGTAAGTCTGATAGAGATAAGTTGGATAATTTTGACGGAGAAAGCTTGATAGAGGCAAGTTTGAAAGACATCAGTTTGATACAACACAGCTGAAAGTTACCAAGCGCCGCACCTGCCACGCAAAGCGAAGAGGGGACTGCGGCGTCCAAGCACGCACCAAGCGCCAGCCTGCCACACAAAGCGCAGAGATAAGGCTGACAGAGGCAAGTTTGATAGAGATAAGTTTGACAAAGGTTGATCAGTTCATAGATGTATGTTTGGTCATGGTAAGTTTGATAGAGATCAGTTGACAGAAAAAAGTTGATCAAGGCTAGTTTTGATAGGGATAAGTTGATAGAGATGAGCTGATAGGATAGGTATTTGTGGGTAGATAGGTAGATAGATTGAGGAGCAGGCGGATGGAAGAGAAGGAGGAACCCTGGATGCAGCCCCAAAAAAGAATCCCACACTGTGATTTGGGGAGGAAACAACAAAGATCCAGCCATTTGTCGTCCAAACCCAACGTCATGTTTAGACATTCCCAACTTTAGCGGTGGCACCGTGCACTCCGGGCAGAGAAAGTGCTGAACATGGCACCTCTGACCCGTCCGGAACAAAAGGACCCCACCTCCAACTGTACACAAGTGCGGTTCCTTCACTCATTCGCAGACAAGGCTAGAAAATGTCCGAATTGATTGGCTTTGGCCTGATTTGGCTGTTGGGTAACCTTGGTGGATCGGGTAGTTGTATTGAATGGTTCTTTGAAAAGTCTATGTTCATATGCTATTTTCCGCCTGGTACGATGCTCCCAATTGAAGAGGAGACGTTTCAGAAACCACCTGCCAGTGTAGCATCTATAGCTGGGAGCAAGGCCTTTTGCAGGATGGAAACTCTCTAGTCAACATGGCTGGTAGTTGAAACCCATGATCATCACCTTGTACTCTAGGGATGCTAATCCAAGTATGAAACGTGAAGTACTACGGGTTTTTACACTCAGGCTGGTTCGTGGTTTGGGGCAGTCGACCCCAGCTGTAGCAGGCACTCTACCAGCTCCTAAAGATCACGTCCAACTGGAGGCTCGGCCAGCGGTGGGTTCGTCCAAGTGGCTGTACCATGGTAATTTCCTTTCCCTGAGGCAAACTAGCAGGTCGCGCCGCCCTTGGGCAACTGGTGTTTTTTGGCGCCTTTTGTTCTTTGCGCCTTGTGCTCTTTTGTTCTTGCGCCATTATCAGCGAGCGTTGCAAGCTTTGGCCAATTGTTTGAGAAAGTGCAATGGAACATTCCCCGACAAATTAATTTAAGTTGTCTAAACACAAGTATACAGTATACTTTTATATTTATATATATATAGAGAGAGATTATATATACATGTGAGATATATATATATGTGTGTGTGTGTACGTAAGTGAGAAATATATCTATGTGCATAAATATAAACAAGAAGATATGTACATTTGTATGTATACAATAGTGAAAACAAATTTATATGTATGCACATGTTTATTTACATATATGTATCTAAATGTGATTTTCATTGTGTAATATTGTGTATACATATAAATAACACGGGCAAACCCGAAGTTCACGAAACATACATGACGTGAGCAAGCCCACAGGGATTTTAACATCTCCCCACCCCATCCAAAGGTCGGCACATCGCTTGTGCCTCGGGGTTTTCGTCGCTTGTGCCTCGAGTTTTCTATCGCTTGTGCCGCGGGCATGTGTTCAGTACGCTCCCTACCTTTGTCCATAGGGTTTCTATGTTTTGTCTCTCCGTGTTTTTTAATCTTTGGTGTTTCTGACTAAGTGGCTTCTATCTCTGGCTTCTATATGGCCTTTGGGTTTGCCTGCACACTGGCTTCTATGTCTGGCATCAATATAGCTTCTATGTTTCATTTCTAAGTGACTTCTATCTTTGGGTCCTATATGGCAATATTTTTTTTTGGTGCGTCGTTGATTCGGATTCTATGTTTGCCTGCTCAGTAGCTTCCATGTCTGGCGTCCATGTGGCTTCGAAGTTTCGCTTCCAAGTGGTTTCTAAGTCTGTGGCTTCCATGTGGCATTTTTGTTCGCGTGCTACGTGACGTCCATGTTGGGTGTCAACATGGTTTCTATGTTTGGCTCCTAAGTGGTTTCTATGTTTGCCATCTATGCGGTTTTTATGTCTAAATGGTTTCTCTTTATGGTTTCCAAGCAGCGTGTATGTCTGGCATCTCAAAACCTCCATGTCTGGCATCTAAGTGGTTTCCATGTTGCGTTTGTCAGCGCCTGCTATGTGTGGCTTTTGAATGCATCTCAGTGTTTGTGCAGGTTGCCTTGTACGTGGTCTCTTGGCGGGCATTTAATTGTGTAATTGCTGCGTATGCATCGCGCCACCGCAGCGGCTTAGTGGTTTCAACGTGTGCTTTCCGATGGATCTTACGTCTGTTTTTTTGATTTGATGCGGCTTCCAAGTCTTATGTCGGAGGATCCATCTCTTAACCCCAGCATGCAACACCAAAAAGCACAACTCACCCTTACAACCTGCAGCAATTCTGCGAGACTTCCTCAGTTTTTGAAGTTGACAACATCAAAAACGAAGCAATTCTGCGAGACTTCCTTCAAAAATGGAAAGTTGAGTGCAGAGCTGATGACCTCGTACCAATGCGTTTTGCGGTTTTTTCCACTCCACCTGTCTAAAGTACTGTGCCTGCCACGAAAAAGTGATGCCAGGTCATACGAAGTGCTGCACCTGTCACGCAAAATCATCTCAGCAAACCTACAGATCTGATGCTCCAAAATGCAACCCCTCTCAGGAAATGAGCGCCCTGACCTCCGAACATCTCTGATGAACATGTCTTTTGTACTGCACCTGCCACGCGAAATGCATCTTTGAAGATCCTCTTCAAATGCCTCACGCCTGCCATCGTTTCTGGAAATGCCGCAAAACCCTCACGTTTTGCTCACTTTTGACAAGGTGCAGAATCCTTTGCGCCTGCCACGCAAAACGACATCTGAACCTCCAAAAGTGGCGCGAACATGTGGTGTTTTGTGCATTTTGACTTCGAAATGCGCTTCGCGCCGTTCAACGGCGTGCACTTTTTCGACATCTCAACTGCCAAAAGTGGTCCGGACCTGGTGTGCTTTGTACATTTTGACTTCGAAATGTGCTTCGCGCCACAACGGCGGGCACTTTTTCGACATCTCAACTTCCAAAAGTGGTGCGAGGCTGAGGTCTTTTGTACCTTTTCACTTCGAAATCGGCTTCGCGCCACAACGGCGTGCACTTTTTCGACATCTCAACTTCCAAAAGTGGTCCGACGCTGAGGTGTTTTGTACCTTTTCACTTCGAAATCGGCTTCGCACCACAACGGCGTGCAACTTTTCATCTCTCATCTGGCCAGCTGGCTCCGTACCCGCCGCTTTAGCGAACCTACTTTTCGACCCTCCGGAGCCTCAAATCATTGGAAAAACATAGTGTTTCAGTGTTTCGCGACTTTCCTACCTTTTCGCGCATCTGCATCTTCTTTCTTCTGACTCTTTCTCTTCTCTGATCTTCTCTCTTCTACTCTCCTCTTCTCTCTGCCTCTGCCCTGCTCTGCTTTTCATCTGTCCATATTGTCGGAAGTTTGACTTCTAAACTTCCTTCGATGATATCGATCGTCATAGCTAAAGACGTGTTTGGTTTGTCCGTATATAGAGCAACTATATAAATTATAAACATCAGCAGAATTTGCAACTGGCCCGTCCTAAGAGACCAAACGATCTGATCGACTTGTCGCTTTCAGTTTTGGTTCCCCTTCCGTGTGACATGGAAAGCAGCAAAGTGTGTATGGGAGAGGCGATACTGTTTAAGATATGCGAGACAAGATTTCCGGATAGTTCCAAAGGGCTCAGTTTGTCTGGAAACAAACGTGGAAAACGCTTCATTGCTCAATCATTCACCAGCGAAAGACACCAGACGCACCTTGGGACGTCCGGATGCAGTGATGCTCCCAGTTGTAACTATAGGTGAACACTTTTTAATAGTTGAAAAATGTTGAAAATCCAGTCGATCCGGGTAATTTTACGTCGACAAACAAACACCATTTGTAAGCCCATTGCTCATGATCTATGTCCAGCTGGTTCCCATGGCATTCCATTGCATTCCATGGGCCCGCTGAAAATCGTCAACTCCGAGGAGAACATCGACATCCGTCGGGCCGCGGCGTTGGTCATCGCCAATGCCTCCTCGGACAGTGGGAATCTGGCGGGGGAACCCAGGCCGTGGGCAGTCTGCGTGGTGGGAAGTCCACTTGGGGAAATTTGACAGAAAATGAAGGTGATGGAAGTTTATTTAGCCAGAGACTTGCTGGGATGGTTTGAGTCACCAGGGGTGATTGTTTTGGGGTAGGTTGGAGCCAAACCAAATCGACGGAGGCAGAGATTCAAAGCAGATGGAAGTTAGGATTTTCCATGGATGAAATTATGAAACATTGATTTTCTAGAAGAGCCACGGTCGGACACTCACTTTCTCATTTTTTGTTGGGCCAATCATTTCAAGGGATACCTTGTTGGAACATGTTGGAACCCATGTTTCAAAACATTGGAAAACCCCACCCTGCGGCGCGGCTTCTTTCCGCAGCTTCCTTTGCCCCGCGGGGGCCCCGGCGTTTTGGTTACGCTGGCCCCTCCGCCATGAGTTGGGACCTCGGATCTGGTCACAAGTCAAGTTGGAGGTCCGGGATGTCCCTATCAGTGATCAAGTCCGGTTGAAAATTAGGGCGACCTCTATAAATCCAGTGCTTCATAGTGGTTTTTTTTAGTTCGTCAGTTCATCCTCATTTTCGCCCCATTTGTCCGGGATGTCGCAGGTCTGGATGTAGATGCTGAGAAGGAGATCCCCAGCTGTGAGCTGATCGCCACCAAATGCATCGGCAGTGGGGTGACCTCGGAGGTCTACCAAGGACATTGGAACCGCATCGGCAGGGTGGCTTGGTGCCGAGTTGGCAAATGCTGGGAAGATGGTGAGCCTGAAGAGTTGGTGGGAGAAGGTAGCTTGAAAAAAAGAGAAGGGCATTGAGCAACAGGTGATTCTGATGATCAGCGCCTGACATATCATTTGAATGTCTCAATCCGAGTAGATGTTCAGAGTCCAAAAAATCTCCCAGTTAACGTTGAAATCCCCAGGGTTTAAGCCCCAGTTTGCAGGCTATATCCCCAGCAATGCTCATCCTCAGCAGGTGGTGGCCATCAAAATGATCACTGACCGTTGTGCCTTCCGAACAGATGAGCAGTTGGCCTTTGCCAGAGAAATGAAAGTTCTCACGCAGGTGTCGAAAGATGGGAAATTGGGAGGCCGTGGCCTTTTTAGGAAAAACCGAAAAACCCTGGGAACTCGGATATAATTTTATGGTGTATATCACTGTATATCGCTATATCATCATATATCATCATATGTATGTATATATATATATAGATAGATAGATAGATAGATAGATAGACAGATAGATAGATAGAGCTATGTAACATACATACATAGGATCACTGTCTGTGTCTATGCGATGTATTATACGATTTGGGACACTCAAAGATACTCTACCAGTCACTAGCCTTGTAGTACCCCCTCAAAAACGCTCACAAGTCTCAGGCTTCGGTTCCAAAGGGCCTGCCAGGTACAACATGAGAACCTGGTGACATTCTATGGGGTTTGCATTAATTCCCCACCTTTGCGCATTGTCACCGAGTTCTGCCACTCGGATCCACTTGGCTCAGTTGGCTCAGAGACTGACAACCGCTTGAAGCGTTTTGTGGCATGATGTTGCATGAAAATCATGAAACAAAATGTGAGAGTCTGTGCCAAATTTGGCAACATGTGCTAAAACCCGAAAACTTGTTTCTGTTTCTGAGCATCATATCCAATTCATATCCAATTCAACTGAATTTCCATACATGGCACCTGGTGGGAAGGCCGGACCCTGCAAGGTGAAGGCGGCGCCTGTTTCGAACTCCTCCATAACTCGGATGATGTGGATCTCATTTGGCCACAGCAGATTAAAATGTGCAGCTTGGTGCGTGTGGAACCTCTGGCCAACAAAATTGGCATCCAGGTATTCAATTGGTATTCAAGTGTTGCCCAACATTGGCAGAACATGCCCATTATGTGTCTTGTTCTTTGATTTTTGGATTGTTGGTCCTGTCGTTCATGGGAGTACCATGGTTAGACGGCCGCATCTCAATCTATTTATGGGTCAGAAAAAACATGGAGACTCGCTTTAGCCTTGGATTTCATTTGGCCTCAAGGAGCGGGGAAGGTTCAATCGAACCCCAAGGTTTTCATGCTCAACGAAAGCCCGATGTATTTTGTGGGGAGTTAGATGAATGGAACAGTGTAATGTAGTGGCAGGCAGTGTGTCACAAAGAAGGGTATGTCTGAAAACGGGTTACAGTCAATTCCAGTGGATTATCATCATTTTTCTGCCCATTAAATGGCCATAAATGGGTTGCGATATACCTCTGACAGACCTCGGCCGACCTTTCCCATCCTTATGTTTTGGGTTGGCTTGGGCCCGGCATTTTATAGAACAGATGGATCCCAGACCACAAAGATCAAGCTGTGCAATGTCTTAATTGTTTCAGCATTAGCTATTCATGGCGAAACTGCGAGTGGGTGAACGGCTCACTGATTTTGATGGTTGGTTCCTGCTATAGGTAAGGTAATATTCTAGAGCTAACGCATGTGTCCAAGCTCGACTTCAAAGAAGGGTTGCGTTCACCGTCTAGGAGGTACAGAGTTGATCCAGATTCCATCTGGTCTAGCAGTGAATTCCGGATAACTTGACCAACCGCACGGCTTTGCGTCATTCAAGTTTCTGACCTATCAGCTTCGGACGGCAACGTGTTCGCTTGGCATGGCTGTGAAAAAATATTTTCTCTTGTATTGGCCTCCGTTCCGCCAACTAACTTGCTTCATTCTTTAGCCCTGCAACTAGGGTTTGGGTGTATATTGGCTTATTGCAGGCCGTTATCCAAGGTGTTTTTTGCATTTTCATGATGCTGATGGCGCAATTTCTTAGATAAATTGCCAGCTGCCTCAATTTTACCCATACATGAGGTGACTGGAGCGAGAAGTTTCCAAAAGGTCTGCAAAACCACCTAAGCATATCTAATCAACGTCTCCCCAGCTAGACTGCTAGACAGCCAAAAAACGCCTCAGCAGGTGCGAGGTGGGTGCAACTTGTTTTCTGCCTATTTCAGACCCCCTTTCAGACCTGCTTTCGGGCTGGGCTTCCAAGCTCTGAAAATGGAAGTCTGCAAGAGCCGGCCTCAAGCGTTCGAAAGCCGCAGCACGCTGATTCTGCCAAAATTGAAAGAAGAGTTTTAAAATGATGTATCATCATTAGATAAAACCTCTATGTGGGCTTCTAAATCTGTTAGCTCACAATTTCTTTGTGCCACTTCCAATCCCTACCGGAGCGCCCAGCTCGGCACCCTTAGGTGCTTCAATTTTACCCATACGTGACGTAGCTGGAATGGGAGGTTACCAATAGGTCTGCGCGGCCACCTAAGCATAACCACTTGCTGCAGGTGCACCGCAGTGGGCTACACAAATGCAATACAATCAAATACACATTTAAACGGCACAAAGATCTGAGGGGAATGGCACCGAAGGGCGCGAACAAACGGATAGGTGAAACAAGCGGCCCTGCAACTGCGACAGGTTTCTAAATGACCCCACGGGCCTTGCTAAAATATTAATAGCCTCCGAAGCAAACGCAAGTAGATGGGAAGTTGATGAATCATGGGAAAATGATGAAAATGATCAAAATGAACTGACCAAAGGGGTGTGCTTCATCGAGGCGAGATGAAGCGCAACCCAGTGTTTGAGCGCGCCACGGTTGTGCTGTGGATGGCCCTGGTTGCGCTTCGAAACCCTGGGTTGTGCTGCATCGAGGCGAGATGAAGCGCAACCCTGTATTTTTAACTTTTGAGCAGAGAATTACTGGTCGAAGCACCCCAACATTCATCCACCAGTCGAAGCAACCCTCCATTCCAAGTTAAAGCGAGGCGATGAAAGAATGCCAGAAACTGCTAGTCAAACGTTAAAAAAAAAACAGGGTTGCGCTTCATCTCGCCTCGATGCAGCACAACCCAGGGTTTCGAAGCGCAACCAGGGCCATCCACAGCACAACCGTGGCGCGCTCAAACACTGGGTTGCGCTTCATCCCGCCTCGATGAAGCACACCCCTTTGGTCAGTTCATTTTGATCATTTTCATCATTTTCCCATGATTCATCAACTTCCCATCTACTTGCGTTTGCTTCGGAGGCTATTAATATTTTAGCAAGGCCCCTGGGGTCATTTAGAAACCTGTCGCAGTTGCAGGGCCGCTTGTTTCACCTAACCGTTTGTTCGCGCCCTTCGGTGCCATTCCCCTCAGATCTTTGTGCCGTTTAAATGTGTATTTGATTGTATTGCATTTGTGTAGCCCACTGCGGTGCACCTGCAGCAAGTGGTTATGCTCAGGTGGCCGCGCAGACCTATTGGTAACCTCCCATTCCAGCTACGTCACGTATGGGTAAAATTGAAGCACCTAAGGGTGCCGAGCTGAGCGCTGCGGTAGGGATTGGAAGTGGCACAAAGAAATTGTGAGCTAACAGATTTAGAAGCCCACAGGCTATGTGCAGAATCAGCGTGCTGCGGCTTTCGAACGCTTGAGGCCGGCTCTTGCAGACTTCCATTTTCAGAGCTTGGAAGCCCAGCCCGAAAGCAGGTCTGAAAGGGGGTCTGAAATAGGCAGAAAACAAGTTGCACCCACCTCGCACCTGCTGAGGCGTTTTTTGGCTGTCTAGCAGTCTAGCTGGGTAGCCGCTGCAGGTCTCATACCAACCGTGGTCCACCATTGAGCCAGCGCCATCTGCCCCATGAAAGTGCAGAAAAGACGTTGAATAACATTCAGCAATAAGCCAGTAAATATCCATGGCGTGCTTGGGTGGCCTGAAGACTCTTCGGCAACTTCCCATTCCAGCTGCGTCATGTATGAGTATACTTGAGGCACAGAAAGGTCATCAATGAATTGAGCACTGTCAAGAATGGGCGCATGCAGCCCTTCAAGATCAAGTCAGCAGCTGATGATATTTCATTTTCTGCCTTGTCGGCCAATAGGAGCCGATGGGCCCCACATCCTCCATTCTATTTATGTATATACACAAAAATTTACATTATGTATGTATGTATATATATATATATACATTCATGTACACATGTGTAGGGCAAGGAAAAAAATGTTTAAGGTGCAAAAGAAACATTGTTTGCACACACGCACACACGCACACACGCACACACACATATGTATATACATATATATATATATACATACGAAATCTAGCAGGATGTGATCCCAACATTGTTAAATATCTACATGTATATATATACATATAGATATTTATTTATCGAAGGAATTTTAGAAGTCAAACTTCCGACAATATGGAGATGAAAAAGCAGTCAGCAGGGAGAAGAGTTAGAAGAGAAAGAGTCAGAAGAAAGAAGATGCAGGTGCGCGAAAAGGTAGGAAAGTCGCGAAACACTGTGTTTTTCCCGAGAGTGCTGCGGAGGGTTCTTCGTTATACTACATCTCTGCGGCCGATTTCCAACCTCAGCGTCGCCACTTATGGAAGCTGAGATGTTGATAGAGTGCACGGCATTGTGGCGCGAAGCAGATTTGGAAGTAAAATGTGTTAAAAACTGAGGGGTTCGGATCACTTTTGGAAGTTGAGATGTTAAAAACTGAAGAGTTCGGAGCAGTTTTGGAAGTTGAGATGACGAAACAGTGCACGGCGTTGTGGCGCGAAGCACATTTGGAAGTAAAAAGTGTTAAAAACTGAGGGTCTCGGAGCACTTTTGGAAGTTGAGATGTTGAAAAAGTGCACGCCGTTGTGGCGCGAAGCACATTTCGAAGTCAAAAGTGTTAAAAATTGATGGGTTCGGAGCACTTTTGGAAGTTGAGATGTTGAAAAAGTGCACGGCGTTGTGGCGCGAAGCACATTTCGAAGTCAAAAGTGTTAAAAACTGAGGGGTTCGGATCACTTTTGGAAGTTGAGATGTCGAAAAAGTGCATGCCGTTGTGGCTCGAAGCACATTTGGAAGTCAAAAGTGTTAAAAACTGGCGGTCTCGGAGCACTTTTGGAAGTTGAGATGTCGAAAAAGTGCACGGCGTTGTGGCGCGAAGCACATTTCGAAGTCAAAAGTGTTAAAAACTGAGCGTCTCGGGGACATTTTGGACGTTCAGACGTCGTTTCGTACGGTAGGTGGCGTGGATTGTGCATCCACTGAAAAGTGACTAAAACGTGAGGGTTTTGTGGCATTTTCAAAAACGATGGCAGGCGTGGGAGATTTGAAGAGGATCTGCACAGATGCATTTTTCGTGGCAGGCGCAGTACAAGAGGCATCTTCAGCAGAGATGTTCGGAGCTCAAGGAGCTGCTTTCCTGAGAGGGGTTGCATTTTGGCGTATCAAATCATCAGCTATGCCAAGATGCTATTTCGTGACAGGTGCAGCATTTCGTATGACCTGGACTAACTTTTTCGTGGCAGGCGCAGTACTTTAGAGACACGGCATGGAAAAATCGCAAAACGCATTGGTACGAGGCCGTCAGCTGTACAGTCAACTTTCCATTTTTGAAGGAAGTCTCGCAGAATCGCTTCGTTTTTGATGTTTTCAACTGCAAAAAGTGAGAAAGTCTCGCAGAATTGCTTCGTTTTTGATGTTGCCAACAGAAGTCTAGCAGCATTGTTTTGTTGTCGTCGTGGCGGTTAGACAGATTGATCGACAGGTCAAGAGGTAGATCGAAGGACAGGTGGAGAGAGAACTTGACGGATGAAAAGATGCATAGATAGACACATAGGGAGATAGATCGATAGTTTACTAGATAGATGGACAGATAGACAGATAGACAGATAGACAGATCGATAGATAGATAGATAGATACATAGATGGAGACATAGAAAAACAGACAGAGACATAGATGGGTAGGTAGGTAGCTAGACAGATAAAAAGATAGAGAGATAGATGGGTGGGTAGGTAGGTAGAAAGATAGATAGAGAAATAGATAGGGACAGAAATAGAGAGACACATGCATGGAGTTAGCGCATAGGGTTAGCCGTTGTTAACGGCATCAGAGAGATCTGGCTTCACGTAACTTTTCAGGCGCTATGAACATGTGATGATTAGCATGCATGCATACGCCGTGCTGACGAAGTCACAGGTGGTTTGGAAACAGCGCAGCATGGATGTTGATGTTCCTGACTGTTGCCAGCCTCTTATTTATTGCATGGATGTGTACGCATGCAGAAGTCACTTGTGTTTTTTCTGACCAGAGTGACTTGACTCAATGCAGCATTGAGCTGCGACACCCGGTAGTTTTTTTTCTCGGACCGCTGCAGGCTTCATATTTCGATTTGTCGTGCACGTATGTTGACGTGGCAATGCGGAAGTCACCCAGCATTGAGTCAGTGCAGCATTGAGTTGCCGCATCCGGTGTTTGTGACCTCACTACACAGATCCGTCGACGAAGCAACTCTTGTCGGTGTGTTTTTTCTGGCCGCCGGCAAAGATGTCTCGAATCTTAGCAGCCGAGCAAAAGCGCAAGCACATTTCCAAGTCAAAAGTGTTAAAAACTGAGGGTCTCGGAGCACTTTTGGAAGTTGAGATGTTGAAAAAGTGGTGGCGCGAAGCACATTTCGAAGTCAAAAGTGTTAAAAACTGGCGGTCTCGGAGCACTTTTGGAAGTTGAGATGTCGAAAAAGTGCACGGCGTTGTGGCGCGAAGCACATTTCGAAGTCAAAAGTGTTAAAAACTGAGAGTCTCGGAGACTTTTTTGACGTTCAGACGTCGTTTTGTGTGGTAGGTGGAGTGGATTGTGTATCCACTGAAAAGTGACTAAAACGTGACGGTTTTGTAGCATTTTCAAAAACGATGGCAGGCGTGGGAGATTTGAAGAGGATCTGCACAGATGCATTTTTCGTGGCAGGCGCAGTACAAGAGGCATCTTCAGCAGAGATGTTCGGAGCTCAAGGAGCTGATTTCCTGAGAGGGGTTGCATTTTGGCGTATCAAATCATCAGCTATGCCAAGATGCTATTTCGTGACAGGTGCAACATTTCGTATGACCTGGACTAACTTTTTCGTGGCAGGCGCAGTACTTTAGAGACACGGCATGGAAAAATCGCAAAACGCATTGGTACGAGGCCGTCAGCTGTACAGTCAACTTTCCATTTTTGAAAGAAGTCTCGCAGAATCGCTTCGCTTTTGATGTTTTCAACTGCAAAAAGTGAGAAAGTCTCGCAGAATTGCTTCGTTTTTGATGTTGCCAACAGAAGTCTAGCAGCATTGTTTTGTTGTCGACGTGGCGGTTAGACAGATTGATCGACGTGTCAAGAGGTAGATCGAAGGACAGGGGGAGAGAGAACTTGACGGATGAATAGATGCATAGATAGACACATAGGGAGATAGATCGATAGTTTACTAGATAGATGGACAGATAGACAGATAGACAGATAGATAGATCGATAGATAGATAGATACATAGATGGAGACATAGAAAAACAGACAGAGACATAGATGGGTAGGTAGGTAGAAAGATAGATAGAGAAATAGACAGCGACAGAAATAGAGAGACACATGCATGGAGTTAGCGCATAGGGTTAGCCGTTGTTAACGGCATCAGAGAGATCTGGCTTCACGTAACTTTTCGAAAAAGTGCATGCCGTTGTGGCGCGAAGGACACTTCGAAGTCAAAATGTTCAAAACACTAGGGATTCGGACCACTTTTAGAGGTTCAGACGTCGCTTCGTTTCATTACACTACACTACACTCCAGTACACTACATTACACTACACTACACTCCAGTACACTCCTCTACACTAAATTACACTACACCACACTGCATTACACCACACTACATTACACTGAATGACACTGCACCACAGATAGACAGGTAGACAGATAGATAGATAGATAGATAGATAGACATACAGACAGACAGATAGACAGGTAGACAGCTAGACAGATAGACAGATGAAAGGGAGAGATAGATAGATAGGTAGATAGATAGAAAGATAGATAGGTAATTAGATGAAAGAGAGAGAGAGAGAGGCCAGCTGGGTAGATGAGATAGATAGATAGATGGCTAGACAGATAGATAGATAGATAGATAAATAAATAGACCGATAGATAGATAGATGGACAGAGAGACAGACAGACAAATAGATAGAGAGACAGCTAAATAAAAAGATAGATAGATAGATAGTAGATAGACAGACAGACAGACAGATAGATAGAGAGACAAATAGATAGAGAGACAAATAGATAGAGAGACAGCTAAATAAAAAGATAGATAGATAGATAGATAGACAGACAGAGAGACAGACAGACAAATAGATAGAGAGACAGCTAAATAAAAAGATAGATAGATAGATAGATAGTAGATAGATAGACAGACAGACAGACAGATAGATAGAGAGGCAAATAGATAGAGAGACAGCGAAATAAAAAGATAGATAGATAGATAGATAGTTAGATAGACAGACAGACAGACAGATAGATAGGTAGACAGGTAGATCAGTAGGTAGGTCGGTAGAAAATCAGAGAAAGATAGAGAAACAAAGAGAAAAAGAGAGAGGAGACCTCAAGCACCTTTCAGTCCATCAGTGGCTTCGCTCTGCCATCCCTGATTCACAACAACCAAACTCTCCTATAGGTTTCAAATTTTTGAAACTTCCGCCACCGCCTTGTGCGGTACTACTGGTATTTCTATTTGCACATAGGTACCTTTTTTGCGTTTACAAACCAACGTTCTATTTTATGGGAATCCAACGTCACCGCCAATACCCCTTGGCTGAGGTAAAGATGTGGCAGCTGCCATGTACTATTTGCCCCTTGGAGAGTTTGCCAAAGTTGCTTTGGGAAGAGGTATCTGATTTAGGCCATTTAATGATATTTGCAGAATATGTGAGAAGAGTTCAAACATTAAGTATTTGTACATCTGCAGGTGGCTGTTCTCTGCTTGCAAATGGTTGCTTTTGCGGTATGCCGTCCCCTTCTACTCTCTCAGAATTGTTGGAAACAGGCGGCAGCTTTTCATCCAACGCAAACTATATTTCTGCCCTCTCCAAAGACCAATTTACTGCGCCTGGTAAAATTCATAAGGTTGGCAAATTCATACAAATGGCAGGTGATCCCCAGCCCAGTGAGTCAAAAGACGTCAGAAATACCATGTAAATTCATGAGCCGGTCTTCCCAACCAGGATATCAAGGTACCGCACATCCAATTTCTTCCACTGTCGGAACTGGTGGCCTCCGCGAATTGTTACCCGAAAACTGGATGCTTTCCCGCACCTTCTGGCGGCAAAGGCACACCTTTGATCCTATGATCATTCACCGGGATCTGAAATCGTGGCTGGTCCTCATTTTGGATGGTCGCGGTGAGGGGGACTGGAAGCTGACCACCCTAAGATTCAGTCCTTAGTAAGTCTGCTTGCAGCCAAAGATTCGTTGCTTTTCTTATGTTGAATGTAGCAACACTTTCGGGCTTTGGTTGTGTTTATGTTTTGCAGAAGTTTTCCACGGCCATGTTTGATTTGAACAGAAGCGCGGTGGGAGCCAAGGTTGAACCTTCTGCTAGATCGACCAGTCTATGGCCCAACAGATACTGAGTTGCACTGGGGCTGTGGCCGGTATTGCTGGAAGCCACCCTAACAATTGTGAGCAGGCCCAAACTTCCAAGCTTCTCATTTGTTCATAGAAGCAAGCGATTCCGACTCAAAATGGGATGCGCATGGTCCCCCAAACTCCCTTTCTGCACCCACAGCTGGTGCTGGGTGGCAGGTGTTGAGCCCCCCAGCCATGAAGTAAGGATGTACCGAGCGTGAAGGTGTGTGACTTTGGAGTTGCCAAGTTGACTCTCGGCAGAGTTCAGGGTGTGGCTCGTGGCCTTTTGGGTACCTAGAGAAATCTAGAGGCTTGGTGGGAAAAGGGGCAACTCAAGTTTTTGGAATCCCTGAAACCGGACGTCCAGAGTTTAGATATTTTGGTATTTTGGTTGCTTTTAGTGGGGAATTTCTGTGGGTTGGACAAATTGTACTTGGCCAAGCTTGAACTTTGGCGGTGTTTAGATGATCCTGAAGATGCCAAGTTCCGGACTCAACTCCGCTTTGCATGTATTGGGCGCATCGAAAAGCGGAGGTGTGTGTGGCTTATGGAGTTTCATCTCTATACCTGTTCTTTTAGTAATCTAAGCGAACGCAAGCCATCTTGTACTGGCTGGTTTTTACATGCAGGTCTTTTCTTTGACTAGAGTAGCAGGACCTGTTGCCCATTGGATGCAGCGTTGTGTGTTTGATGCTCAGTCATTGACCAAAGTTGCTTGGGGCTTCGAGTCCTCCCAGGTTCCCTTTGTTTCTATGGCTTGCGTTTCTTCTTCTTCTTCTTCTTCGTCGTCGTCTTCTTCTTATTCTTCCCTCTTCCTCTTCCTCTTCCTCTTCCTCTTCCTCTTCCTCTTCCTCTTCTTCTCCTTCTTGTACTTCTTCTTCTTCTTCTCCTTCTTCTACTTCTTCTTCTCCTTCTGATTCTTCGTCTTCTTCTTCTTCTTCTTCCCCTTCCCTCTTCTCCTTCTTCTTCCCTCTTCTCCTTCTTCTTCTTTTTTTTCTGCCTTCTTCTTCCCCTTCTTTTTCTTCTTCTTCTTCTTTTACTTCTTCGTCTTCTTCCTCTTCCCTCTTCTTCTCCTTTTCTGCTTCTTCGTCTTCATCTTCTTCTTCTTGTTGATATTTTCTTCTTCTTCTTCTTCTGCTTCTTCTTCTTATTCTTCTTCTTCTTCTTCTTCACCTTCTTCTTTTTCTTCTTCTTCTTCTTCTTTTTCTTCTTCTCCTTCTTCTTCTTTTCTCTTCTTCTCCTTCTTCTACTTATTCGTCTTCTTTTGTTCTTCCTGTTTGTCTTCTTGTTGGCTTTCTGTAGTGTGATTCAAATTCTTAGCCATTCCCCGCTGTTTTGAGGGCCGGGGAGGTGATAGACTCTAAGCCAAGGCAACGGGAAGGCGAGTGGGGACAGATGACTGCACAAGCAGGCGATGGCTCGGCGATTGCTTGGTGGTTGGAGGGGATGGATCCACTGTATCAGCAACTGAGAACGTCATCTCGACTTCTGTCGTCTTCAACAACTGCCAACTGCAGATACCAATGTGGTGGCTTCTTGAGCACCACACATCCACCCCAAACATCCAATGAGAACTTGACATATTTCAATCGGAAAAACCATCAGTTGGTGCAGTTTTGCTTGGATAACCCGGAGTCTGGCTGCGATTGTGAGGCACCAAGCATTGGATGGCGCCTGAGATGTGGAGAGGGACCAGATATGATGAGAAGGTGCGCCTGGGGGGAGATTCTTTGGCTGGCGAATTTCGGATAATTTTGGCAGGATTGATGTAACTGTAGGGTTCGCTCCCAACACTGAAGGCGGACTCAGGTCCTTTTGTGGAATCTGTTGAAAGGTCCTGCCCTGGCGTAGGTGGATGTTTTTTCGTACGCCATGGTCATCTATGAGATTGTTTGTCGAGAAGTGCCTTTTGAAGAGGAAGAACCCGCCGATGTGGGTAAGTATACGCTGGCTGGTGCCCCTCGTCGAAAACGCTGGTGCCCCGCGCTGTGTTGACGGTGCTGATTTATTCAGCAATTTTGATCTTGGATAGACATGTCATTTGTTTTCTTTGGTTTGCTCTAGTTTTGCGGATTGGGTCCAAACAATTTGTGAGACCCCCCTGGAGGTATCCCAAACTTGCACCCTCAAGTCATTCCACCAGTTCAGATATACTGTATACATCCTGATGGTTATTGGTTTCATCGACCATATCCCTTGAGATCCCTTCAGATTGGTTGTTTTTGCCCCTTTCAAAGCTATTTTGGCACCTGTTAACCGGTGCTTCCCCGAGGTTCGTCCTGACATGGATGCTGTACCGCCCGACACACCGCCGGACCTCATCCATGTGATACTTGGCGCCAGATTCAGAGCTGGCTGGTGGCATAGTTTTTGCTGAACATCAGGATCTTTTGCTTCAAAGGAAAATCATTTCTATTTGTAGGTTTTTTTTAAAATTTCTATTGGCGCTGTAGATGTCCCATCCCTTTTCTATCGGCTTTCGCTCGAGGATGCAGGTCTGCTGGGCCCAAGAATCCAGAGATCGACCCGGATTTCCTGAGATCATGAGAATGTTAGCTTACCTTTAGAAAAAAACACTTAGGTTTGACCCGGTTGGCAGCTGGGGAGGAAGAAAGACTGTGCGATTTTCAAATTCAGACCAGCAGCTGCTCTGAGTGGTTCCCAGTTTTTTGGCACCTTTCTCCTGCTGTCAAGTTACGGGCACATGGCGAAGAAACAGCTGGCAAGAGAGCGGGTCTGCAAATACCTCGGGGGAGGGCACCGGAGAGAGATATCCTGGACATTCCTGGACCACAATGGAGTGGATGAGCGTTTGTGCTGGATACATAGATATTGTCGATATTGTATACTTGGAGCGTCACAGCTTCCGTTAAATTGGACCCCACAACATGTATGGAATCCCCAAAAGTGTTTGGATGGTTTGACCGACCATGGCACATTTGAATTACACCTGCTTCGAAGTTAACGAGCAAAAGTCCTTAACTTAAAACTGTTTTGCCGCGGCTTTCACAAGCCCGCAAGCCATTTCAACCACAGCTCTGATGTTGTACAAGTGCAAGTTAGAACTGTCATCGCTTCCACATATCTCAATAGACATAAGTGACATAAGAGTAAATCACCATCAAAGTTCTCAAGGGGCAACTTTCCCATCTTTCAGGGGAACCCTGTAGTCTAAAGAATGACATAAAGAAGGTGCACGCTTCGAGGATGAAGATCTTGACTGGAGTTTCTTGGAATGTGGATCTCTGTCGCTAAGACACCAATGGCTTGACGTTTGGCAGCCAGAGCGACACCCCGCAACAAGAAAACTTGTGATCTAAAGCAAAATCAATTGCAAAATCCTCTACGAAGCCTCGGCATCATGGACATTTTCAAGCCATTCCCAGTGAGGCAGGTCTTTCTCCTCTTGGACCCTCCGGGCGTGATTTTTGTAGTGAAACACCTGGGCAAGGCTGCTCTAAAAGTGCAGGCCGGCAGCAGGATCGGTTCGCTGACAGCCGAACCAGAAAATGGCCGCTGCAGCTTGGCACAGCTTAAATTGCAGAGTTTGCAGCACATTCCAAGCAATGATTTTGATTTAGCTGAACATAGGGATAACCATTCCATCCTGGGATTCGAAAGCTCCTTTTCTTATATGTTCGGCAAGTGCTTCGGCTTTGCTGAGTCCAAATTGGCATCCAAGCCCTACTTGGAATCCTTGAGTATTGCAACTTGGCCATGTGGATGTCATGTCTGTGGCATATTTGAGAAGGGGTCAGAAGTGTGTTACCCCCAAATCGGATGATTTGACAGCACGAATGAAGACATATGTTGGTTGCTTTGTTTTTTTTGCAGGTCGTTTGAGAGTAAGTTGCTTCGCTTGGGGCTGGAAATGAAGATGTTTCGGAGACATTTTGAGACCGAATTCTAGATCCGAGTTTAGACAGGAAGAACTATCTGTGGACAAACCAGTTGCATTCCCCAGAAGTTTGTGAAACCAATCCGTTCCAAATATGCAATCTCAACATGTCCCCAAAGTGGTGAGATTGCGCCAGGTAAGGGATGCTGATGCCACAACATGCCCAACATGAGGCAGTGTCCATCAGTGGACCAACATCGCCGCTTGGATCCGATGATTCCGATGATTCCGATGCCGATCCGAGAATCCGAGCCGTAGTGGCTGTACCAACCCGAAGTTGTCTCCGTGTTGTCGAAGGAAAGGTGTGTTTTGAAGGCAACCCGAAGCTTGTTGACTAGCATATGATCCACAGACCTGTGATAACTAGTAACAACAACTTGCGGCTGCTGCTTATCTCAACCTTTTCAGGCTAGCATACCCCCGACGAAGCCGTAAAACACGGAGGGACAAATGAATCATTGCAATGTTGCAAGACTGCAACCATTCGGTTTTGATGTTTTGATGCCTAGCACATGCCTTAATTTCTGAGCGGCTGAGCGGCTCTGATGAGACCCTTTGAGTTTCGCTTGTTACGCTTGACGGGTGGATTGTGCTTCATGCGACCATCCAGGTGAAGCTTGAGAAAAGCGGCACCGTGACACCGTGCACCTCGGTATGGGACCAGCAGTTCTTTGATTCTTAACTGCTGGTATGGGGGTGTACACTGGGTGTAGGGAGGTGGTGATGTTGTATTTGCGATGCCAAGATCAAACTCCCATGGTATGATCATAGGTTCTTCAGGTGGATACTTTGTCAGCATATTGGGTTGCATAATCAAAGAAGAGTACCAGAGGCCCAAAGCCTTCCAGAATGTTCCCTAAACCAGGTAAGCTGTCGCTAACACCCCAAGAATTGAGAAAAAGAGTTGTTTTTTGCAGGTGAGCACTACCATTTCTGGGTGATATATGACTGTGGATGAACATCCAAATTCGACCCTCACTTTGAGGGATCTTCGAAGGTTTGGGCATGACACCACTTCCTGCCAAGGTATGCTGATGGCATGTGGCGTTCACAGGCATATCTTCAACTACGTCCTACGTCCCTTGGCAGCCTTGGCCCTTGGGGATCCATCGATGATTTTGGGTTGGAAAAGATGGGTGCTGGGCGCTGGATCACCTGAGGAACGCTTGGCTTCGACACCGTAAAGTGGGTCCAGTTGAAACTATCCATGAGATTCAACAAAGTCAGCAAGTTTGGCCGTTAGTTTTAATGATTCCACCAAAGCCTGACTAGCTTGAAAGGTGACATATTACATCATATTACATCATATTACATGATATTACACCATATTGCATCATATTACACCATATTGCAGTATATTGCACCATATTACATCATATTACATCATATTACATCACATTACACCATATTACACCATAGTACATCATAATACATCATATTACAGCATATTACATCATATTACAGCATATTACATCATATTACATCACATTACACCATATTACATGATATTGCATCATATCACACAATTTTACATCATACTACACCACATTACATCATATTGCATCATATTGCATCACATTACACCATATTACATGAACACAATTTTACATCATACTACACCACATTATATCATATTACATCATATTACATCATATTACATCATATTACATCATATTGCATCCTATTACACCATATTACATCATATTACACCATATTACATCATATTACACAATTTTACATCATATTACACCATATTACACCATATTACATCAAAACACATCATATTACATCATATTGCATCATCTTACACCATATTACAACATATTACACCATATTACATCATATTAGATCATATTACATCATATTACACCATATTACATCATATTACACCATATAACATCATATTACACCATATTACATCACATTACATCATATTCCACCATATTTCATCATATTACACCATACTACATCATAATACATCATATTACACCATATTACATCATATTGCATCATACTATATCATATTACACAATTTTACATCATATTACATCATATTGCATCATATTACATCGTATTGCATCATATTACATCATATTGCATTATATTATATCATATTACATCATATTACATCATATTATTTCATATTGCATCATGTTATATCATATTGCAGCATATTAAATCATATTACACCATATTACATCAGATTACATCATATTACACCATATTACTTCATATTGCATCATATTACATCATATTGCATTATATTTTTTCATATTACATCATATTACATCATATTGCATCATATTATATCATATTACACCATATGACATCATATTATATCATATTACATCATATTACATCATATTACACTATATCTCACAATATTACACCATAGTACATCATAATACATCATATTACAGCATATTACATCATATTACAGCATATTACATCATATTACATCACATTACACCATATTACATGATATTGCATCATATCACACAATTTTACATCATACTACACCACATTACATCATATTGCATCATATTGCATCACATTACACCATATTACATCAATTTACATTATATTACATCATAATGCATCATATTACATCGTATTGCATCATATTACATCATATTGCATCATATTACATCATATTTCATCATTTTACACCATATTACACCATATTACATTATATTACGCCATACTACACCATATTACATCATATTACATCATATTGCATCATATTACAGCATATTACACCATATGATATCATATTACATCATATTACCTTATATTATTTCATATTACATCATATCACATCATAATACATCATATTACACCATATTACATCATGTTACACCATATTACATCCTATCACACCATAGTACATAATATTACACCATATTACATCATATTACATCATACTGCATCATATTACACCATATTACATCATATTACACCATATTACATCATATTACACCATATTACATCATATTGCACCATATTACACCATATTACATCATAATACATCATACTGCATCATATAACACCATATTACATCATATTACACCATATTACATCATGTTACACCATATTACATCCTATTACACCATATTACACAATATTACATCATATTACATCATATTACATCATACTGCATCATATTACACCATATTACATCATTTTACACCATATTACATCATATTACACCATATTACATCATATTACACCATATTACATCATATTGCACCATATTACACCATATTATAACCCATAGTATCATATCTGTCCTATCTATCATATCTTTCTCTTGCTGAGCACCAAACTTTGACCGCGGCCGGGACAGCGAGGCGATCTCTGTCGGCAAGTGGCCAACACTGGTGCCGTGGTGCGGGCCACTCTGCTGGAGGACGCGGCCACGAAATGCGCCAATGGACCATGTAGATCCTAAGCCATAAATAGGGTGTATAACTTATACCAGGGATGTATAATCTGGCTGCTGATTAAGGTATTCTTTCTATGCTCTCTAAATTTGTTTCAAAAAATATATCATCTTGAGTTTAAGTATGATATGCGAGAGATATTTCAGAACTATCCCTGATTTCATTTGCCATAATCCAACTTGATTTATTTGGAGAGACTTTGCCTAGTTTCATTTGCCATAATCCAACCGACTTTCAGTGAGCTTTTAGCCATGTGTGGGTGGATTGGTGGAGTCAATGACTGCAAAACTGAAGTAAGTCAATGACCTGAAAATCTGATTGAAATGTGCCATGGTCAAAATATTTAATGTTGGATTGTTGTCGATCCGACATTCAAACCCCAACCAACACATTGATGACTGGTTAGATGACTATCCCCCATTGGCAACTAACCCAATGCTGATTTTTGACCATGGCACATGTGTCAATGACTGGACTTGCTCAAGTGTGTCAGTGACCGATTGTGGCAATACCAGTTGGATTTTTCTGACAAAGTCACTGCACTCAGATCTGGTTCTTAAGAATCAGTTCGTAACCACAAATTCACATTTCCCTAGAATGGTCTGGGCCTACTATCCACTTGTATTAATTTACACAAGGATGTCATTGACAGTCACCCAACAGCTTTCCGAAGACATTCCCCTTTTTCTCCGCTTCGATGAGCGGTGAAGCCACTCCAAGCGGTGAAGCAGAAAGACCACAGGGGGATGGACAAGTCAGTGATGTTTAAAAGGCAGTGAATGCTTAATACACATGTTGACCATGCCAACAAGATTGTCATGGACAACAACCCAGCACGCAGCCCCGCGAGTTTTCATCAGATCCTGACGATGTCATCATGACATACCAATCCAAATTGGTGGCTCATTAGGCGGAATTTCGGAACGTCTTTCGCGTTCAAAAAAACATGCGCTTGCTATTATTCAAGGGAACGGCTTTCGCATTCCAGATGCAAGTTGCAAAAGTAGCTTTCCACAGTCAAGCCAGTCAGGCGTAGATTCCACTCGGGGTGGTGATGATCTTGAATGACCCATGAACTGGGAATCCCATGCGCTGAGGGATGGTTGAACTATGTTGAAAATACTTTTGAGCATGATGCATCATTCTGTTGGAGAAGCAGTATTGGAACATGAGTTGTAGTATGTTGATGGATGTTGTGGTAGAATATGTCCGCCAATTTTGTCCATCAAGTCAGATATTGAGAATTTTCACCAGACATAGTGACTATTGGTTTCAAGTATTTAAAGCCATGTGTATCAACAAATATTTGTCACCATCAACGCAATATTTTTTTCACCATATGTCGCACATATTTGCATAGGGTAGTAAATTCAATTACGCAACTTTATATAGATAGTTTTGCCATTAGATATGGTTGGCAATCACCTCATTCCCATCACATACATATATAGACAACAAGTGACAATCAAACAAGTGACAATTTAACTATGTCAATCACAGATCATGCCTTATAAGATTTCAAGTCATTTGGGTCGTTTCATGACGATCAAAACTTCACATTCACTTCCCATATTTGGGTTAAATCCCAAGTCTTCATCATTTTATATATGTTTATTTTTAAGTAAGTTCAATAGTTGTTAAATATCTAGTTGCAGATGATGTTCCCATATTTCCCACTGGGACATCCTAGTGGAAACCATGGTCGCCCTCGGTCTCAGGAGTCCTTGGTGTCACGTGGGCCCAACGACTTCGGCGCGAAGGACTTGCTGGGCGAGGCCTTTCGAGTGAAGGCCTGGCAGATGCAATGAATGGGGGTAAAAATTCCCTTCGAAAATGGAGGGTTTAACTGGCTTAATTTTCAAAAATTTGGATTTAAGATGATTTAAGTATCACAAATGGAGATTTGACTGATTTATCTATCAAAAATTGGGGTTCAACCATCAAACATGGGGATTCAACCAATGAATACCGGATATGAGATGATATGTGTTTGTGAGTGGGGTATACCAGTGCACCACAAAAATAACATTTTAATGTGTAAGATGATTCACTCGCGGATTTTGGGTTATTGTCCATTTACAAACCCGAAAGAGGTCATTCAATCAGTAACAACTAGCAACAAACGGGGTGGTTGGATCAATCCTTGTTTTTTCCTTTTTTTGTGGAAGTTGCCCAAATAACTAAAAGAATCTCAGTGCCTGAAACTGACGTTAAACCCGTTGTACAAACGTTTGCGACTCGGAGTTGGAAATGTCCCGTTTGCAGTTTGCAGCAGTTTCAGGTTCTCGATCCATCACGTGGTGACCAGGTAAATCTCATCCCCCTTTTTGTGAGCCCCCTTTGAAACCATGATGGCATGCATTGGATTTATCATGATTTATCAGTTGGATTTATATTGGATGAGTTTTCATCTTGACGGACCATGCGGGGGTATCTCAAATATTGGCTAAATATCTCCATTTCAGAATGATAAAACCAGGTTAAACCGCCCAGGTTTGACGGTTAATTCCCCATGTTTGCACCGAAATGTTTGCTCCTTTAGTCTCCTTTATAAGGAGGTTTCCATAAATGGGGGATCCCACAATGGATGGTTTATAAGGGGAAATCCCATTAAAATGGATGATTTGGGGGTACCCCTATTTTAGGAACCGCCTTTGGACCTTCGGATCTTCGAACTGTGTCGGAACGCCAGGCGGTTAAGATGCGGCAAGATGTACAGATGCTGCAATGTGTTGAAACCAAGGCGACGGAGCAGAGGGAACTTGTCCGATGGCAGCATTTCTGGCTGTGGTTTTGGGCCATGGGTCAAAATTAAACACCCAAAATCCGATAAGTGATGATGCCTTTTTTTGATGAAGATCATTTGGTGATGATGATCTCATCCACATTACTTTGCACATGATCATCCCATTTACTTGTCTATTCTGGCCACATTCTTGGGAGGGTTGGGGGTACCAGGCTTTGACCCAGTCCAGCAGGCACCAGGGCATGCGTTCCAATTCTGCTTAGGAAGGGTTGATCCAATTTTCATGGATTTTGGCGGATCATTGATGAGATTCCCAGAAGCATTTTGTTGGGTCGGCACTCTCAACCGAGGAGGGCGACCGGACAATCAAGGTGGAGCCGGAGATAGAGGGAAGGAGTGACAAGAGTTGTAACTGCAACAGTTGCGGTCATTTACTGTATCCTTTATTTTGTAAAAAATACCTCATCAGCAATCCTGCGATGATGAGCTATGCGAAAGTGGGGGGAACTGTCGGGGGAACTGTCGGGAGCTTATTTGATTGTGGGATTTTTTTCAAATGATTGCCATTGGCCCATCAGACATCCTGTCGGGCTTATACTACATCACCAGGGTCACCTTGGCATCGCAGCAAATTTGCTCGCCGGCAACGTTACCACTCGGGTCTGCCACTCCTCCCTGCCACTTGGGCCATGGCTGCCTTCTGCTACCAGAAGACCTTCATCGAAGAGGTTGTTGAACGAGTAGCAGAGGTCCGAGCAAGGAGCTGTCCACCAGTGCTGAATCTCTGCTTTCTGAAATGTGGCAAGCCTAAAGCCATAAACCATCCCCAATGTTCAACAGAAATGGGTGGTATATACCATCCAAAATTTGAAGGTTTCGGATTTGGGTTTGACCACATTAGTATTTTGCATGATTTTGCATCCCGGAAGCTTGTGTTTTTCGCTTTTCTTGAAACCATGAAGCCAAGGAAGACTTTGACAGTACCGAAAGATGCAACCAGCCTTGACTTTATGCATGATCAGAAGCGGCTCGCATTGCAGGTCCGCTGGGTTTCGACAGGTAAAGGCTCCACTTGTTGAGATACATTTAATATCATTTGAATTATCATTTGAATTCATTTGATTTTAATTTCAACATATTTCAACATATATGCGCTTGATGCACCTCAATCAAAGGTTCAAGCTCAGGTGTTTTTATCATGTTTGCTCTTTTGCTCTTACCTTTCCAAGACACAGCGCGTCGGAAACAAAGTCCGAAGATGGTGGACCTTCAGATCCGAACTTGCAAAGGCTTAGCAAAGGATTAGCAAAGGTTTCAAGTTTAGAATCCGTTTCAGGGATTCTGACGATCGGCAGATCGGCTGCGTCTCGTGTCTCTCGTGTCAGGTGTCCAAACTTCAGGAAAGGTCTCAGCTGCCGTCTCTGCCATCTAACGAAATTGGCGCACCTCGCGTTCAGGCGGCGGGGTACTGGCGGCTGGCAGGCGGCTGGCACCGGTTTTCTGGAAGTCCTATGTGCCTGAACATCGTAGACCATGCAAAATTCGAAGTTAGGAGTTTTTTTCCATGTTTGTTTCCTGGTTTTGAAGCGTTGAATGTTCCGTGCATACTTTCTTTCTCCGGTCGGTCTGGATATTTTGGTGTCGAGAAAAACATCCGGTCAGGAGATTCCTTCGCCGGGAAGCCACGGGCATCCCAACATTTGTCGAAGGCCATGCATCCTCTTGGTGAAAGGAAAATGCCAGAAGGGCTCAGCCTGTGGTTTCTGTCATTTGGAGCATGATGCTCAGCGAAACTTCAGCGAGGCTGTACTCTGATTTCTCTTGTTCTTTCCCATGTATTTCCCCCAAATTCTTGACAATCTGGCGGCTAACCGAATCAGGAATTGCGCATTCCTTCCTTTGACAAGCAGCAGAGAGACTACTTGAAGCTCCTGCCACGTGCAATCTTCTTGCAGATGATCTTACCATATGTGCGCAAGACGGTGGAGGCTCGGGGATTACAGTGGATAGTGGATGATAGATCTAGTGGTAAGCGATGGGCTTTGTCAGGCCAGTGAGCTTCCTGGAGCCTGTCAAGTGCTTCAGCTACTGGAGAGCGAAATCGTTGTCCGAGCATTTGCTGGTTTTCCGAAGGCCCGAAGGTTTCCACGCAGGATTCGCCATGTGTTGGGGCGGATGAGTTTGGCCAATTTGGTCAGTGTGATTTGCTCGACCCTCACTGGGCGTTTTCCAAAGGTTTTAGCCACCGAGCTCAAGGACTTGCGTGATACCGCCCAGACTTTAGAGTCTTGAATTCAGCCAGTGTTGGCACAAGCCAAGTGAAAATCTAATGCGAGGATTCGCGAGGTGTGTTTGTATCATATACAGTCATACACAAATATACATACATATATATATACGTATCAATATATATATATATTATATATATATTTATATTATATATATAATATATATATATATGATATTATGTGGCTCCCTAGGTAAGAGTCCACAAAGGTAGGGAAACCGGTACGGTACCAACCAGTTTCTTGGATTTGGGGTTCCTACCCCAAAAGGAAAAACTCCCCTTATAGGGCTCTTCACCGTGACCCCTTGGGCCCTTATGAACTTGTTACACTTCTCGATACCTGTGCTGCCCGCAGCAGCCGCGTCCTCGCTTTTGCACCTCACGTGCCTTGAGCCATGCGCAGTGGCGATGGCGAAGTCCCTGATTCCCCAGGCAGCCTGCAGGTGGCATATGGTTCGTACATCCTTTGCTATTCAATTCACACTGGTCTATTTTTCTTTTGGATGTACTTTCGGATCCTCATCTTCCAGTGCTGCAGTTGGTAAGGATACCCACTTGGCCGCGATCTTGCGGTGTGAGTTGTTTTGCAACGTTTGGCTTTCATCAAAGATTCTAAATCTTCCCAGCCGTAGCATTGACCTCAGAAAAGAGGATTCCATCGGCTTCGTCAGACAGTCTGCCAGCATTATTGCTGTTGAAATCCAACGGCACTGCAAATGCCCTTCTGCCTGCTGCTTTATGAGCATTACCTCCACAGTAGTTATCCACTCCTCACAGTTGGGTACTGCCAGTTTAGTGACTAACTAAGTCGTATAAACTTTTGCAGTCTGTAATAAGTAGAGCTTTGGGACGTGCTTGTAGGGAACGTTCGGGATATTGCCACTTGAAGGTTGGGCTTAGGATTTAACCCCATAAACACCTAAGCCAAGTTAATTTGTCAAGAGAAGAGCTCATTGCATATGCCTCGGCACTAAGCGTTGATCTCACCACTCTACCGGTTTCGCATGTTTTGTTGGCAGCAAGTTCGGGCGTGCAGGCAACGATGAACAGCCCCTGTTGGGCCTTTAGCTGAGAAGCGCTAGCAAAACTCGCATCACCGAAACTCGCAAAGGTGATCCGCTCTAATGGCAAAGGTCTCACCATTATGGACGTGTCGGCTGTCTGCTGGGCTTCAATCAGCACTCGGTTGGCGTCCAGGAGAGTTGACACTGTCGCCTTGCAAATGTTCTTTTGGATAAAGGCTACCTTTGCTGCTATATCGGGTCGGCTATGTACAGCTGCATACTGTAAACTTCCACACAATCCCCTCAAGTCTTGAACTTCTTGTGCATTGGCCATTTCATTTTTATTGGCTCTCCTATTTTTGGGTACTTGTATCTGTTCGATCTTATTGATATATGGTCCTTGGCTGATTTTTATGGAGTTGTCAGGCAGCTGTTCAATCTCAAGACCCGTGAACCGAAATTTTCTAAACTCTCTCTGTCCAAATGGAAGCACTTTCTGCAGTTCTTTCAAGGCATTTTCATAGTGGTGATTCCCCCCCTATGCCATCATCAACATGAGTTCCTAAGATTCCATCCAGAGCTTCGGGATTGGTTTTGTTTCGCAACAAAAACAGGCAATTATCAAGAGGATGAGCTTCAAACCCTACTTTTTCAAGTTGACGTCTGAACTCCTTGTAAAAGAGCAGTGGTACGTCAACCCTGCCATATGCGTTCCCCTCCAGCAACAGGACCTCGTCACTTGTCATTTTGAGAAGTCCCTGAAGTTCCGGAACGGGTTCCATGGCTAATTGCCTTCCATCTGATTTCCCACGGAGAAAGGCCGTGGTGATATCAAAGTTTTGGACTACCCAACCCATCGACGAAACCACCTGCAAACACAGCATTCGAGCATCTCTGGACAAAGTCGGGGATTCAGTGCTCACCTGATCAAGTTCGGGGTCTTGGTAGCCCCGCACAACAAGTCTGGCTTTGGCCTTTTGACCCTTGGGCATGGATGGGTCGGGTTTCCATGTTAAAATCCATCGACCAGTCATGATGCGGTTGGGGGAAATTTTGGATCTCATGATTTTTCTGACAGCACTGGTTTCCAACCAGCAGTTAAGTTCTTTGGACTTGGCTTTGTCAAAGAGATCTTTCTCGGATGCATTCAAGGTGGCATATCGGACTTCGAAACGTGCACGCCTGGCTGCAGTGGCCAAAAATGAGGTGTTCATTTTGAGATCTTTCATGAACCTTTGGACATGCTGCTTGGGGACTTCGAATTCATACTCACAGTATGGTCGTGGGTCCTCTTGAGCATCATCCCAGAGCGTGTCTTCGTCGCTCGGAATGGCAGGTCCGGAAACGTTTGACTCCGAAAAGAAGGCATTATAGACGGTGTTGCTGTCTTCAATGCTCTCATTCCCACCTAGGTTCTCCCCAAAGTTACTCCCCGTAACATTATTATCCCCATTTGGCTCGGGTGCAAAGCTACTTGGTGACACATCACTGGTCTCACTCCATTCATGTTCTACGCTTTCTGGGATGGCCACTTCTTCGGGACGCAGTTCTCGAGCTTCGGACACAGGTTCATGTGAGGCTCTTCTAGAAGGTTCTTCGTCAGGTTGAATTCCCTGAGGGTGATCATCTTCGGTGGGTGCTTCAACTGGGACTTCACTGAGATCTGAAAATTGGAACATTCCACTTCTTTCATGGAGTCTCCTTTGCAAATTCTCGGCCAACTTTTGGGCCTGCTGTGCATCTATTTGTTGGCTGAAAAACGCATGCCGCTCAAACTCCCTAAGGCTGACAGGACGGAGGTTGTCCCTTGCACATCTCAACAGCCGATTTAGGTGGGTTATCCAAACAATAGCCTTTGATTCAACCAGGACGATCTGAGCAGGGCCACACCATTTACCCTTTTCTATCATGTTGGCTGATTTGCGTTTATCCCAGAACATACAGGGTTGCCCACATTTCCACTCATTGATTTCCCCTCTGGACTTTCTTAGGGTGGCTCTCCGTATGGCTTGACTGTTGTCACTGTCAATGAAGGCTTTTCGGGCCAACACTCTGAGCTCAAGCGCCGCACGGAACTTCTCTGCCTCAGGCCCTTCATTGAAGGCTGCATGCATATGTGCCGGAGTGCTTTCATCACTTGTCAGCGATGCGGGAAGGTTTGTTGCTTTTCCTAAGACTGCTTGCTCAGGACTGTAACCGCAGGTTGTAGAAAGGCTATTCTTGGCTCGAAAAACTTGGAACAAGGCTCTCTCAAATTCTCCTTCGTTGTTTATTGGTTGGGCTTGGTCTATTCTGGACAACATCTCTTTCACAATTGCTCCATGTTTTTCAATTCTACCTCTCTGCCATGGCCCTGCAGTGAGTATTGGGGTGATATTCCCTTGTTGGAGGAATTCCTTCCATGGTTCAGCAACAAATTCACTTCCGCAATCCATGACTAGCTCACTTGGTATTCCCGCCCAGCTGCTCCAACATTCTTCAAACACTTTTTGGGCTTGGATTCCATCACGAACAGTGCGTCTCCCCAAGTGAAATGGTGTGGCTTCATCAATCAAGTGAACAACATATCCTTGATACCTCGTGGTGCTTTTCCAATCAAAACCATCAATGTAAATTCGGTGGTTGAAGTCTCTGGCTTCTTTGAGGGTTCCGGCTGGGTTCAAACTTGGTGGTCGCCTTCCAACGCATGAGGGACACAGGTAATCCAAGGCACCATGGACCAGTAGCTCTTCGGCTCCTAGTTCCGCTAAGTGTTTTGACAAACGCTCTGAGGTCGGGTGACCAAGATTATGATGCAACTTTCGGATATATGCTTTTCTGGGTTCTTTTGGGAAATCTTGGACCAGACACCGACACTGCAGCTGACGTCCACGAATTGGCGGGCATGACACATGGGAGGTCAGGCGCTGGTGGAGTCACTCATCGGGACTGGCATGTGAAGTGTCCCAGGCAGTGTTCCAGGGTCTTCAACTGTTGCTTTTCCTACACCTGGGACCTCTGTGGGTTCTCTTTGTCTACCAAAAACACATATCATGACATGTGAAGGCATGGATGCTTTCCTCTTCTGATGGCTATTGGGCATGGACTGAAGGTCTTCGGTTCCAAGGTCAAACACTTCATATGACAGTCGGCTCAAAACTACCGTTCTTCGGTGAGGCAAATGATCTGCGTGGACCATGTATTTCTCTCGGCCTTTGCATGCCATTACTGACTGGACTTGCATTTGCCATTACTGACTGGACTTGCATTTCAGGACAGAGACTTTGGAGAACCTGAACTTCGGCATTATGAGGACCATCCCATTTAGTTACCCCTGATTTAGGTAATTCCTTTCGATATTTATCCATTACCCCTTTCCATCTTTTGTCCTCGATTTTCTTTGGTGATTCTTCTTCATGAGTTCTTTTACGGCTTGCCTTCTTGGTCGTTTCATCTTCTTTGACTCTGGAACGTTTTGTCGTGCTCTCCAACGGACTTCCGGGATCTTCCAGTTTCCGGACGGGAAAACACCCTTGCTGAACGACCATTGTCGGGACGGTTACATGTTCATGCACTGGGCGCATGATCACCTCGGCAATTTTCTTTGCGAGAACTCTGGGATAGAAGGCTGAAAAACGGGACACCTGTACAAGTTTTCCATCAACACTGCATGATCCAGGTACATGGGCATGAGCATGATCTTTTTGACACAGGCGGTTATCCAGGCTTCTAAACATTTCCTCGGATGAGGTTTGAACACGGGTGCTCTTTTGCATCGGTTCTTGCAAAGACGGATGCCTTAAACCGAACTGGCATTGGTCGAAGAAGGCTGGCTTGGTGCGGCCGCATACTTCTTGCATTTCTTCCTGTTGCCACATTCCGGAAGGTTTGGGATTCTCAAGGTGACAATGGTCACCACGATCCAACTGTATCTTGCAAATAAGGTCACACATATGAAGCTGGTCTTTGGATGCAGCTTGATTTTCACGGATGCGGCTATAGGATTCCATGCTTTTGGTTTGGTTCAGTCGATTCCGAGGGCTCCAAGGGCCACACTCTGGAGCTAGCCATATGTGTCGTGGCTTCCACAAAAAGATTTTCCGAACAGCTTGATTTGTCCTTCGGTGGTGCTCAAATCCCCATCTTCAAAGGTAAATCTCTTGGCTACCCCACCCCTCTTATTGACTTCATCCCTTAATCGGCTACTATTGCTGGCATAGACTTCAAGGAGATCTATGGGTTTATGACCCTGGATTGGCATGTGATGACGACATTGGTTCATCATGTGCAATTCATAGGCATTCTCCAGGTGCATCGGTTGGCCTGGATTCACTGATCTTACTGACGGCCTCTCAGTGCCTGCTTCTCCATGTCGCTGCGAGCTTGGCAGTAGGTGATGAAGTCTTGCATGGCCGGGGTCGCGTTCTTGGCTCGTGCACTGACCCAGTCGACGTAGCTTTGGTGTTCTTCGTGCACTTCGGTGAATCGTCTCGCATTGTGCGTTTTCCCCCATGGCACTCTTGTTGCCCCATGACTCCAAGGCCTGAGCAGTCAGCACGAGTTGGCTCTCTCGGTTGTTCTCTGGAATCAGGTTCTGGTTCAGGTGGCTCATGGTTGAGGCTCCCTGAGATCTCGGCTGGCTCTTCTTGGGTGGAGTCCTTGTTGCAGCTCTGATTTCCTCCTCCTCCTCCAGCTCCCATGCGTGGTCCGAGAGGACTCCAATTTCCGAAGGACTTGGTACAGCACGACTTGAAGACCTCTTCGGGTTCATCAAGATGATCAGGAGCATTCTGAGAGATTCCATCACTGCCTCGGCCGTCGATTTGATCAGCTTCATGGCATCTCGTTGAGTCAGCATTCTGAAAAGACTCACTTCGGACAAGACCCGGCGGGGGTAGGACGTTGGACACTCGAACGGCTGCTGTTTCTTTGGCTGACATGGCATTTTCAGTGACACCTAGGCACAACTCTGACATTCTGAAAACATACAGACCATTCTCACTTTCTCGCAGGTTCAGCCATCTTTGAATTTTGGATAACACTGGTTCGTGGATAAATCTATCATGGCTCCTAGTGCTTTCATGGCCTGAATGGATATGAGAAGGGTGTTGCCCGAGGAACAATTTCAACCACCATCCAGATTCTGCTACGGCCGGCAACGATTGGGATTCAAACTTGCTTGAAACTGTAGGTTGTTTGATTATTGCCAAATCTAAATCCTAGGGTGTTCTTGCACTCGGGATTGCACTTCTCTGGGCAAACTTTTCAGCACACCCGGCCACAAGTCAGCTCCTATGACACTGCGATTGGCTCCAGTGTCCAGTATTGCTAAACCATCTTCTGCAATGGCTCCCAAGCTCGGTCGGCTGTGGAAGCACTCGGATGCTTCATGTTCAGACTGGCAGCTTCGTCCTGGGATTCAAACGAAATTGGAAAAATTGCTTGACCTGGGGAACTAGATGATGCAGGCTAAAGGCAACTTCATGGGGAATTCTGCTTTCACACTCCGGATGCTCAACGTGGCTCTTGGTGACTGGCTGCTCACGGATGCATTTGCTCACAAAACATCGGATGCTGTGACATGCTTTGGACAGGACTTGAACTATACCCCATTTATTATCCTTAGCCCCATTATCCCTTGTGTTATTCCCCATGGCTGACATTTCTCCGGCCTCGTCCGTTTCCTCAAAAATCACATGGGCTGGTTCATCATGACGGGCATAGGCTCGGAAGCTCTGGTGAGTCACATAGTTTGCTTGATCCGTTGCAGCAGGAGGCTTATTCGGGCACTCTGCTTTCCAGTGACCTTTTTCCCTGCATGCCCGACAAAATGTACGGGAAATGCGCTGCAGAAGACTTCCTTTGCCGGACCCTTTTCGGAACTGTTGAAACTTCCCAGCCCCCTTTGATTTTCCTTTTCCAGTTGCAGGCCAAAATCCTCGGGATCTTTTCCTCTCCAGGATCTTTGTTCGCGCCTCTTGGTAGCTCAGGAGAGCGTTGTGGAGGTCAGGAACTTCTTGAAACATCTCTTCCAAGTCACGTTCAAAACTGACCACATTCAAGGCATCAGAGTCGCCTTGGGATGCTAAGTGATCCACAAACTCTTGGTCAATTTCTTCATCTTCATAGTTGTTGTATTGGCTGACATTTCCAGCTGAGAAAGCTTCCTGTTCGTTTCCCACCAGGTTCTGCGCAGGTTCCACATAGTTGGTCGGTTAGACCTTCTTTTTGACTTCACCTGGTGACAAAATTGCCAGGGTTCGCATCGCTTGTTCGATCTTCTTCGTGTCCATGTCTCCATTGGTCATTGTCAGGACACGTTTCTTGTCCTCAGGGCTCAATGAACTCTGTCGGAGGAGTAGGAAAGCGTGGAACTCCTTGATGCTCTACGCCCAGCTCGTCCATGGCAACCTGCAAGCGGTTGACAAAACTCATGCTGGACTCATCGCTCCTTTGATCTGTCTTGTAGACAGCTTTCGCGAATTGTTCATACGTCTTCATCTCGGTGGACTCTTCCCAAGTTGACAGCGCCGCCAACAAGTTTTTGACACCGTTCTCGGGATCAACCAACTGTGCCGAGTCGAAGTTTTTAACTTGTCCCCAAGCCGTCCCCCGACACAGCATGGCTAGCCGTAGTGCTAGCATTGGTCGATCTTTCTTTGGGCAGATCGTGTCTATGAACTTCACCTTCTCTATGTACTCTCTGACATTGTCCACTGCAGGATCAAATGTAGGCAGCAAGGCCCAGATGTGAGAACCTTTGTCCTCTGAGATCTCAGCAGTGGACGACATGGCGGGCGCCCCGGGCTTACCACGAAGTCACGTGGGCCCTCCGGGCTCCGCTACCAATGTGGCTCCCCGGGTAAGAGTCCACAAAGGTAGGGAAACCGGTACGGTACCAACCAGTTTCTTGGATTTGGGGTTCCTACCCCAATAGGAAAAACTCCCCTGATAGGGCTCTTCACCGTGACCCCCTGGGCCCTTATGAACTTGTTGCACTTCTCGGTACCTGTGCTGCCCACAGCAGCCGCGTCCTCGCTTTTGCACCTCACGTGCCTTGAGCCATGCGCAGTGGCGATGACGAAGCCTCTGATTCCCCAGGCAGCCTGCAGGTGTCATATGGTTCGTAAATCCAAGGCTATTCAATTCACATATATACGTATATATATATATATATGTGTGTGTGTGTGTTAGAGAGACCTTTCTGTACTGTTTGACGCCTTTACTAATCTTCATTATTTTAAAGTACAAGAAAGTAAAATAAATAGAGATTTATGTTCTTTATTTTCTTTATTTTCCTGAAGCCTCAAAAAGAAAATAAAGAAAATAAAGATTTATTTTCTTTATTTTCGTTATTTTCCTGGAGCAAAAAGAAAATAAAGAAAATAAAGAAATTAAATCTTTATTTTCGTTATTTTCCTGGAGCAAAAAGAAAATAAAGAAAATAAAGAAATTAAATCTTTATTTTCGTTATTTTCTTTATTTTCTTTATTTACTTTTCCAGGTGTCCAGCAGGATGGAATCTATAGAAAATAAAGATTTATTTTCTTTGTTTTCTTTATTTTCCTGAAGCCTCAAAAAGAAAATAAGGAAAAGAAAGAAAATAGATCTTTATTTTCTTTATTTTCCTGGAGCCTCAAAAAGAAATTTAAAAAAATAAGGAAAATAAATCTCTATTTTCTATAGGTTCCATCCTGCTGGACACCTGGAACAATAAATAAAGAAAATAAAGAAAAGAAAGAAAATAAAGACTTATTTTCTTTATTTTCTTTATTTTCCTGGAGCCTCAAAAAGAAAATAAAGAACATAAAGATTTATTTTCTTCATTTTCTTTATTTTCCGGGAGCCTCAAAAAGAAAATAAAGAAAATAAAGATTTATTTCCTTTATTTTCTCTATTTTCCTGGAGGCTTAAAAAGAAAATAAAGAAAATAAAGAAATTAAATCTTTATTATCTGTATTTTCTTTATTTTCTTTATTTACTTTTCCAGGTGTCCAGCAGGATGGAATCTATAGAAAAGAAAGATTTTTTTGTTTATTTTCTTTAGTTTCTTTTTAAGGCTCCAAGAAAATAAAGAAAATAAAGAAAATAAATTGTTATTTTCGTTATTTTCTTTTTCCTTTTTGAGGCTCCAGGAAAATCAAGAAAGTAAAGAAAATAGAGATCTATTTTCTTTATTTTCTTTATTTTCTTTTTGAGGCTTCAGGAAAATAAAGAAAATAAAGAAAATCAATATTTATTTTCTTTGTGTTCTGTATTTACTTTTCCAGGTGCCCAGCAGGATGGAATCTATAGAAAATACAGATTTATTTCCTTTATTTTCTTTATTTTCCTGGAGCCTCAAAAAGAAAATGAAGAAAATAAAGAAAATAGAGATCTATTTTTTTTATTTCTATATTTCCTGGAGCCTTAAAAAGAAAATAAAGAAAATAAAGAAATTGAATCTTTATTTTCTTCTTTTTTGGTTATTGTCTTTATTTTCTTTATTTACTTTTCCAGGTGTCCAGCAGGATGGAATCTATAGAAAATACAGATTTATTTTCTTTATTTCCTTTATTTTCCTGAAGCCGCAAAAAGAAAATAAAGAAAATAAAGAAAATAAAGATTTATTTTCTTTATTTTCTTTATGTTCTTTATTTTCCTGGAGCCTTAAAAGAAAATAAAGAAAATAAAGAAAATAAAGAAAATACATCTTTATTTTCTATAGATTCCATCCTGCTGGACACCTGCAAAAGTAAATAAAGAAAATTAATATTGATTTTCTCTATTTTCTTTATTTTCCTGAAGCCTCAAAAAGAATTGAAAGAAAATAAAGAAATTAAATCTTTATTTTCTTTATTTTCCTGGAGCCGCAAAAGGATAAAAAAGAAAATAAAGATTTATTTTCTTTTTTTCTTTATTTTTCTGGAGCCTTCAAAAGAAAATAAAGAAAATAAAGAAATTCAATCTTTATTTTCTTCTTTTTTTGGTTATTGTCTTTATTTTCTTTATTTCCTTTTCCAGGTGTCCAGCAGGATGGAACCTATAGAAAATATAGATTTATTTTCTTTATTTTCCTTTTTTTCCTGGAGCCTCAAAAGAAAGTAAAGAAAATAAAGAAAATAAAGATTTATTTTCTTTCTTTTCCCGGAGCCTTAAAAAGAAAAGAAAGAAAATAAAGAAATTAAATCTTTATTTTATTTATTTTCTTTATTTTCCTTATTTTCCTGGGGCCTTAAAAAGAAAATAAAGAAAATAAAGCTTCATTTCTTTATTATCTTTATTTACTTTTCCAGGTGTCCAGCAGGATGGAATCTATAGAAAATAGAGATTTATTTTCTTTATTTTCTTTATTTTCCTGAAGCCTCAAAAAAAATAAAGAAGATACAGAAAATAAAGATTTATGTTCTTTATTTTCTTTATTTTCCTGGAGCCCCAAAAAGAAAATACAGAAAATACAGAGCCTCAAAAACAAAAAAGAAAATAGATAAAATAAAGATGTTTTCTTTATTTTCTTGATTTACTTTTCCAGGTGTCCAGCAGGATGGAATCTATAGAAAATAAAGATATATTTTCTTTATTTTTTCATTTTTCTGAAGCCTCGAAAAGAAAATAAAAGAAATAGAGAAAATAAAGATCTATGTTCTTTATTTTCTTTATTTTCCTGGAGCCTTAAAAAGAAAATAAAGAAAATAAAGAAATTAAATCTTTATTTTCTTTATTTTCCTGGAGCCTCAAAAAGATAAAAAAGAAAATAAAGAAAATAAAGATTTATTTTTTTCTTTATTTTTCTGGAGCCTTGAAAAGAAAATCAAGAAAATACAGAAATTAAATCTTTATTTTCTTTATTTTCCTGGAGCCTTAAAAAGAAAATCCCAAGATGCCCCCAGAATCCCAGGTCCTTTGGAGATTTACAAGATTTAGAAGAATTAAAAGATTTAAGTATTTAATTCTTTTAAATCTTTTAATTCCCCAGAGCTTTGAAAGATTCAAATATTTAATTCTTTTAAATCTTTTAATTCTTTTAAATCTTTGAAGTCTCCAGGAATCCTCCAACAATAGGGTCAGCTCACGATTTAAATATTTTAACTCTTTTAATTCCTCAGAGCTTTAAAAGATTTAAAAGATTTAAATCCCAAGAGGTCCTCAGAATCCCACGTTCTTTGGGGATTTACATATTTCAAGCATTCAACACATTTTGAATATTTCGACAATATATCTGCCAGGATTCCACCATCTTTTAGGAATTACAGAAGTTAAAACGAATATTCGATCACTAAATCTCAGAGACAAAGCTGTTCTGCAGCATTGTTTTTTAAAAATCTATTCAGTCAAAGCTTGTCCGGTTGAGTTTTGGGGGCCCCTGGTGGATTAAGATCTTTAAATATACAACTATCTTTAAATAACTATTTGAAACTTTTGCATATATAAAACTAAATGATATGTAAATATAATGACAGATATAAAACCATGTGTATATATATAACTTGAAACACAACTACATATGTATTTCACTATTATATATATACATACATGATTATATATATATATATAAGAAAATATGGAACAATGTATTTACAAGTATGCAAAATTGGATTCACATAAAAACACGGAATTTGGGGGATTGGGGGAGGATGCAGCCCCCCCAAAAAAAATTAATATGGTACTCAAGGTGTATATACTGGGCAACATGCATCTTGTGACCATATGGAACGTATGTTGAGGCAGAACCGTGACAGTCATGGAAAACGCGGTGAAACACAAATCAAGTAGATATAGTGGGAGAATAGGTTTCAACAAGTGTCCTGAAATACTGTTTTCAGAGCCCAAAAAAGGGCTAATTAGGATACTTGTTGAAAACATATGTCAATTCCTGTCACAAAAGCATGCAAATAAACTCAAAAGTAAAAAATACAAAAACCAAGAAACCGCAAAAGCCAACGAGCCAAAATAACGTCAAGTATATACCTTCAATATGTATTACATTGAATTTATTTCATAACATTTTTTCTTCAGAAATCGTTTGCGAAGATGACTTTACTTCAGAACATCTACTTTTACCTGAGAAGTCACTGGGATAAATTTTGTTGTTCTTTCATGGTATTTTCATTTTGCAGCAAAGGACTCAAAGGACATAAACTTATACAGGTTCCACATGCTAATTTCTTCACATTCCTCACAACATTTGGACATTCCTTCTGTCTCTACTATCAGATTCACGGAAATTCGGAAAAGCTATCACACATCTTTTGGCGCATTCTTGATGCACTTTTGATGCACTTTTCCTCTTTTTTACATTTTACTAATTCTGCAAAAATCCAAAAAAAATACGCAAAATCTTCTGGATCAGTAAAATTGCTAAATTAGTGAAATTACTAGCTTTGGAGACTTAGGGTAGACATGTTTCCATCAGAGAATTTACTTGAGATGGGTTGTGCTGAGAATATTGACTTTACTTTTGGCAATCTATAAAAAGTCCTTACTTGACTGGTCACTTGCAAAGATTCTGGCTTTACTTGGCCATATCCATTAAACATACAAGTATGTGACAAAACCAATCCTTTGTTATGGAAAAATTGGATTGTCACATTCTAAACTAAAACGACATTCACTAAATCTAAAAAATGCTACTGCATTTCTGTTACAAAATCACAATGTCAATCAAAAATGCTAAGAAAAAACTGCACGGTCGATGCACTTTTGATGCACTTTTGGTTTTTCACAAAATTTACTAGCATCAAGAAAACTGGAGAAAAAATTACGTAAATTCTTCCCTTTCAGTAAATTTACTAAATTAGTAAATTTACTAGTTTTGGAGACTCAGGGTTGGGAGTGAGATTTTTCTCAGTTTGCCAGCCCCTAAATGTGTTGCTTGTTGGAGGAGCTTTCCAAATACAAGCAAATTCGAAAATGCAATGTCGCAAGTTTCGAAAAGGAAAAAAATCAGCTAAGAAAATGCGACGTCGCAAGTTGCAAAAAAAATGCAACTCAGAAAATGCAACGTTGGAAGTTGCATTTTTTCGCATTTTCCGTTGCATTTGTTTTGGTGCCGTTGCATGTTTTTTGCATTTTTTCGCTTTTTTTTCGTAAAACAAAAATACAAAAGTTGATCAAAGTTGCAAAAAAATGCAACCGAGAAAATGCAACGTCGCAAGTTGCAAAAAAATGCAACAGAGAAAATGCAACGTTGGAAGTTGCATTTTTTTTGCATTTTCCGTTCCGTTATTTTTGGCATTTGCATTTTCCGTTGCATTTTTAGATTTTCCGGATTTGCTACAACTAGCCTTGTGGTTTTGCTTGGAGTTCTCACGGCAGCGTATGTTGCTTATAGAAGGCGGCACAGTGACTAGTCTTGGTGCCAAAGACACATCGCTCAGGAACTGCCTGGCTCACTGCATGTCTCCCTTTCTTTTGGGCAATTTCAAAATTAGAGACGTCAAACTTGACAAAATTGTTGCATTTTGGGGTTGTATTTTTCTTGGATTTTTTCCCACCTGCCAGGTGAGGGTTGTTAGATTTTATCAGAGCTGTTCTCCTCCTCCTCCTCCTCGGCTAGCTGTCCTCCTCCTCCTCCTCGTCCTCCTCCTCCTCCCCCTCTAGTTTCTCCTCGACCATGTCTGCATCAACTTCCACCTCCACTTCCGCCTTGCCAACTCTTCGCCAAGCTCTTTGCCAACTCTCTTCGCCAAGCTCTTTGCCAACTTCCCAGCTCAGTGTGCACTGGGATCTCAACCTGGGACCTGCCCAGCTCAGTGTGCACCGCTGGACCTCAAGCTCAGTGTGCACCGCTGGAACTTAAGCAGGGACCGTCTCAGCTCAGTGTGCACCGCTGGACCTAAACCTGGGACCTGCCCAGCCCAGTGTGCACCGCTGGACCTCAACCTTGGATTTGCCCAGCGCAGTGTGCACCGCTGGACCTCAACCGGGGACCTCCCCAGCTCAGTGTGCACTGCTGGACCTCAACGGGCAGATAGAATGCCAGAAGATATGCCAGATAGAATGTCAGATGGAATGCCAGAAGATATGCCAGATAAAATTCCATGAGATATGCCAGATTGAATGCCAGCCAAAAGATCGCACACTAGGCTGTCATCATCACTTTCGGGAACTGGCACTTCGTGTGCTGCGGGTGGGTTCTCAGGTTGTGGCATTTCGGGCTCATGTGGCAAGGTCTCTGGTTCAGTGTCAGGTTGTTCTTGGGATAGTGATGAACTGGAACTTTCTTGTTGATTATTGTTGGAAATTTCTCTGGAAGCGTTACTTGGTGGGATCGTGTTATCATTGTTAGTAGCCACATTTCCTCCTGGTGGAGGTTCATAGATGGCATTCATGTTGGATTCCCGCATCTGCATTTGTGGGAGAACCAAACTTTCATGGTCTGGAATCAGTTGGGCTTCAACAGAACTCACCGGTCGTACATGTTCAGGGGCTGCTCGAACTAAGGTTCCATGGTGCATGCTGAAAACTGAATTTTGTCCATCTTGTTGAATCACCTTGCAGGGACCAATCCAACCCTTTTGATGTTCACTTTGTCTCCAAATCATTACCCATTCACCCGCAACGTAGTTGCCTCTATTCGGGCGGTTCCTACGAAGCATTGCTCTTCGCAGGGCCATGCTATTGTCTGCTTCGTGGAATGCCTTACGAGCAGACTCACGCATTGCCAGTTGAGTGCGGAAACGGATGCCGTGTCCATTTTCGTCCATGGCTGCCAAATGGGATGGGAGGTGATCATCGCTGGCTACAGATCCAGGAACTCGAAGGCCCTTCCCAAACACCAGCACTTCCGGTGAAAACCCATGTCTCAAACTGCATGCGTTCTTTGCGGCTGTACACATGGATAATGCTATCTGGAGTTCTGCATAGCTATTGATACCGTGATCTATCTCAAACTTGGACAACATTTCCTGGAGAATTTCTCCGTGGCGTTCGGTTTTCCCAAGCTGCCAATGGGCTCCTGGAGGGATCACTGTGGCTTTGACATTGTTCTGCTGAAGAAACTTTTGGAATATCTCTGAGGTGAACTCTGTTGCCGAGTCCATGATCATTTCATTTGGAGGTCCAGCCCAAAGGAACCAACTTTGAATAAGTTTTTCAACAGCTTGTTCTGCGGTTCGACTAGGTGCAACACTGGCTGTTTGGAAATTCGTACCATGATCTATGTAGTGATAGAAGTGAAAAGATTGACCATTTTTGTTGATCCAAGTGACACCATCAGTTGATATCTTGTCACAAAAATCCATCTCAGGTTTCAGGGTGGCTGGTCTGGGAATACGTGGCTTCTGTTGCATTTGACAAGTGGAACATTGGTAATCTTCAAGAGCTTGTATCATGGTTGTGGGAAATCCCTTCTGGCGAAGGACCTGGCTGAGAACCTGCTTAGACGGATGTCCAAGGTTCTTGTGTACTCGTATGAGGAGGCTTCGCTCTTCAGGGGGCAGTGCCAAGAATCGATTCCCATGCATCTGACTCTGGATGTCGGCTGCATCTGGGTCATGGCCTAAATCCAGGATCTTTGGTTCTACAGGAATTACGGATTCCTGAGATTGGGGTCCCGAGTCAGCATTTTGTGACTGCATTGGTGATGACTCATCCGGAGTCGGAGATTGGCAGTCACTTTGGTCTGGCGGCACATCTTGGGCATCGGCAGCAGGCTCGATCACTGTTGGATTGGCAGCAAACACTGTTATATTCACATGGCAGGAATGAGATGCTCTGATCAATTGTCTTTGAGAAAGATCTTCCCAATGTTCCCAATGATCTTCTACCAGTAGTTGTTGGGAGTCCCTGACTTCAACAATGGCTCTGCGATATAGTGCCTCCCCTCTTAATAATTGCTTTGGGGGTCCTAGTGTACGTTCAGTACCCTTGCAAGCAACTATTCTTTGGATGGTCTTGTCATTGAAGACTTCTTGAACTTTCTCAATTATTTTGGGGTCCGTGATCTCATGCTTGCCTACCCGTGGAAGCTGTTGCTTGATGCTGGTTACAATCTGCTGCACGAGTGTTTTGACATCATCATCGGGTCCCTTTACCTCTAGTCTTCTTCTTTTCCGAGGCAGCTCATTCGGATCAATCAGTTTTGCTGCAGGCTTGAGGAACTTTTTCGGCCTCTGTACAGGTGAGGTGTCAGGACCACGTTTTCTACCATGGGCTGCAAAAATGGCGTGCCATTGGTGAAATCCCTTTGGCTTTTCAAAATTGGTCTTGGCTAATACTTTGGCAATTGTTCTGGCAAACTTTCGTGTGTAGGCTTCTGACATGGTCGTTCGGTTGATGGACTGTCCATACACTTGAATAGTCCCTGACAGCTGTTGATGTGAATGCTGTTTGTTGCAGCACCTACCATGCAATTGTTCATGCAGTTTGGAGGAGGTGGTTCGCACGGTCATGCTCTTTTGAATCAACATCTGGCTCACAGGGTCCTTCAACTCACCTGCTTGGCACATGTCAAAATGGGAGGCATGTGTGAGTGCATACAGTTCGGAAAGCAACGGTGTTCGAAACATCAAGGATTTCCGGGTCTGTTCCCAGTGAAGATGTTTTCCTCTTGTGAACTGATGACGCAACAACACCATGCCGAGGGCTAGTTGGTACAAGTTCTGACTTCGCTGGAGGTTGATCTTGTCAAACTGTTCAAGCGACTTGTTTTCATTGAGATGACTCCACGGGCTCCATGGTCCACATACTGGGCTGTACCACACATGTTCTGGCTTTTGTCTCACAATGATTTCAAACAATTTGTTTCTGCCTTCCACAGTTGACAAGTCACCCTCGGCCAAACCGAATCTGCGTGAGCGAGCATTCATGTTCTGCATCTGCTTGGTCAATTCGCTTTTGGGACCACAAAAAACTTCAACAAGTTGCAGTTTTGGCCATTGAAGATTGTTCTTGCAATTGTAATTGCGTTTATGGACAGTGGCAAGCTCATTGGTGATTTGTATGACAAGTTCATCAAACTGTTTCTGTAGTGAGTGTGGATTGGTGGTGGTGACAAAGCTATCATCCAAACCATAATCTGGGTCCCCTGCAATCTTCAGACCAAACGCTTGCTGCTCACTGTTCAGTTCTGGCGGATGTGGTTCAGAATCTCCGTCATCGCATTTTCCATGTGGCCCATACGTGCCTGCAGTGCTGTGATCATCTCGTTGGACTCGGGATTCATTGAGGCCAGGGACCATTCGTCTGCATCCGGCTCCATTTCCTGGTGCAGGGTCATCTCTTCGTGAGGGCGATGAGATGACGCTTGATCTCGAGGGCGTGCCTTGGCTCTGGCAAACATTGGCATCTGAAGTGATGGCTCCGTCAGGGTCATCGTTGGGGGCGTCTCGCCCTTCTCTTCCTGCTCCACCATGATCTGCACAAAGTGACGGAGCTTCAGATGGTCCAGCTTCTGGGATGTCTCGTAGGTTCGCAGGAACCATTTCATCCACTTGGGCTCGTTGTGGTACATTTCCAAGTAGGTTTTGCCCACGTGGGTTTTGCCAAAGGTCACTGTCTGTTGGCACTTCTCTTCGAAGCTCAGGGACTTGAACTCCTCCAGACTGTCGCCTTGGGCATAGGTCTGGCTGCGCTCCAGGACACGGTCGAATCGGTCGGCAAGGCTCATTTTGGCTGTTGGCACACGGATCGGATGCAGCAATCGGAGGGTTACTTGAACCAATCTGTTGGCTATTGGTAACTGGCATTCGTTCCTCATGGATCTCATGAGACTGTTCGGAAATCTGCACCTGTGGAACTGAATCTTGAAATGGAAATGACACTGTTTTCGGTGTTGGTGATTTTCCTGAGTTGTGTGTGTGAAACATGTTGCGTGTGAGTGGCATGGTTGTGGTCTGTGTGACTTGATTGAGGTTCCCACTTCGGTCAATTGGGTCCTGTTTGTTCACGGAGGCTGCTTCGATGTTGTCACAGTTGGCAAAAGTCTCTGCTGCAGTCGAAAGTTTCAGCGCACTTTGCACAAGCTCATTCAGATCAACCAGGAACAAACCACGGCTGTTCAAGTGCAATTTGATAGGCTTTCCAAACACTGGGCTGTGCAGGCTGCTGGAGGAAATATCGACGCTAGACTTTAAGGCTCGGAGCAAGGTATTGGACAGCAACAAAGGAGTGTGACCCTGAACAACTGCGATCTTTAACCCAAGGTTACCTATTGGGATAACAATGGCATGATTGCTATCAAGAAGTCCTTGGTTTCCGAATCGAAAAGTCACACTGCACTTGCATCTTTGAACCTTGTTTCGTACCTTAGGATGCAGGCTTCGCAGCAACTCGGGCACAAGTGCACTTCCAATTACTGATTTGGTTGCTCCGGTATCCAGGATTCCAAAAGATCCGTGGGTCGCAAAAAGGGCCATCTCGTCATGTGCGAGATGCATGTGATTGTTTCTTGGCAGGGCTTTGGACACTGGAAATCTACGGACGCTTTCTCTCACTGTGCATTCATTCCTGAGCTCTGCGATGTCATGTTTCCCCGGTAATCTATTATTACCTACCCCTGACATCTTATCCTCTTTACTAGGATTCCCCAGGTTATAGTATTTCTTACCCCGAAAAATCATGGTGAAAGCACTGGCTACTTGCGGATTGGGCTCTTCGTCAAGTGTGGCTTCGGATGCTACAGGCAGTTGCATGAACTCCAAGGGCAAAAACTCATCGATGGTCTCAGCAGGAGCATTTTCAATCACGGTGGTCATGGTGGCGGCAGTCGAGGGCACGGCTGAACCTGAACTTCTTGGCCTATCAGGACATTCAGCCTTCCAATGGCCACGTTTGCCGCAAATACGGCATGAGCTTTCCATGATTCTCTGCTGCAAACTCTTTCGAGCACCCTTGAAAGCACCCTTTCCACGGCCTTTGAAACCCTTGCCACGACCCTTGGAATTCCCAAGGGGCCAGAATCCTCGGTTCTTGGCACGGTCACTAAGTCTCTTTCTGGCTTCTGTGTAGGCATTCAAGGCAGATGCCAGCTCAGGGTCATCTTGGATGGCTTCGGTCATGGCTGTTTCATAGTCACTGATGAAGGCGGCGTCTTCATCTCCCTCTTGGAGAAGCATCTCAAGCATGTCCTCTTCGGACGGTTCTTCCATGGTGAAAGCGGTTCCTTCTGCATCATCGGTCTCTTCGGAGAAAAGAGCTGTTGCATCATACACTTTGCCTTTGGATTTCTTGAGGCCTACCATTTCATGAAAAAAACCTGATCCCAACATGCGAACTGATTGATTCACTTTGTCGATGGCGAGGACACCTTTTCCAGCGGCGTCTGACTCAAGAATGACCTTTTTCTTGTCTTCTTGAGACAACAGTGATCCCCTGAGCACCACATACGCTTGGATTTCCTCCAGTGAGGTCTTCTTTGATAAAAGTTCGGTCCAGTAAATGTCAGTTCTTGCTAAGTATGAATCATTGGTTTCATCACCACGCTGAGTGCACCTGAAAAGGGCTTTCTCCACCGTCTCATACTTTCTCTCAAGGTTAACCTTTCCCCATTGTCCACCTAAGATCGTGACAATGGCTTGGATGCCGACCTTGGTACCTGTCAGAATCACGGATTTCTGCAGTTGCAGCTTCTGAAATGCTGCTCCAGTCGAATTGAGAATGAGCCTAGTGGCCAGCTCATTCAATTTGTCACTCGGCCAGATTTCGGCCAACATCTCAATCTTCTGCGCATACTGTTCAAGATCATCCTTTGAGGGATCAAACGATGGTACCAGTGTTGCAAGCTGTGTCGAAACACTAGTTGTCGCCTTTTCCTCGGTCTCGGAACTCATGCTCAAAACTGGATGGTGCGTCACCCAATGGTCACGCCACACTTGTAGGAAATTAATTGGCACCCTGGAGCTAGTGGTAGCTCCGCTACCAATCTGAATGGGGTTCAGAAAGGTAGCCACAACAAGAAATGCAATCCTCGGATGAACGGCCGCGTTCTCTTTTCCCTGCAGATCTCGGAATGAAATGTCCCAGTCTCCTCTCGAAGGCAAAAATGCTGTCCACAGCACGCGAAATGAGTCGGCCACGACTCAATGGCACAAATGGGGTGCCGCAAGCACTTCCCACCCTCCAACCCTATGGCTAGCCTCAGCCAAGTGCTGCAGACAGCCGTAGATGTTATATGTGTCAAGACCTGAAGCTTCGGAGTGGAAAGGACCCTGGAACATGTTGAAATTCACAATATATATATATATACGTATAACTTATATATATATGTGTGTGGAGGGGACCTTTATGTATAGAATGACGGGGTTCGGGAAAAAAAACCTTCCAAGATCTATAATAATTGTCCGAAAGTTAATTTTGATTTCATCTGCCGCCGCTCCACGTTTTCACATTTCCATCTCGCTTCTGAGGACCTCAGTTACAATTCCATAAGAGAGGCTAGTCTAAAATCCGATCTCCATATTCATCTCCTTTTCAATGTTTCTACAAATTCATGGCTGCATTTCCTTTGGCTTTCCTTCAAGTTTGCTGTCTTATTTATCCTGGCCTTTGTAGATTTCCTTTCCGAAATTTAAATTCCTAATGAAATTGTCTTTTTCCGGTTCCTTCTGAAATTTGCTTGCAAAGATCAATTTCCTTTTAATTTCTTTTTGAAGCTATTTCAAATGTTCGTTGGAATAATTCTCTTTGGACACGGTTCAAAAACGGCAGCGCCATTATAAAGCATAGGGCGGGCCAAGGGATTTTGTGTCGCATGCAATGTAAAGTGTATGCTTTTCATTGCTTTCTGCATGTGCCAATGTCTTCCCACCTCTTGGGATTCTCTACGCCTTGCCTCGCCGCTTCTCCACAGCTTCTTGCCCTCCCCCCTCTCCACCTACAAAGGAGAAAGACGTAGAAAGGGGGTGAAGCAGGTGGAAAGTTGTGGGTGGAAGGGTAGGTGGAAGGGGTGGATATGGTTGGAGAGGTTGGGTGAAGATGATGCTAGGGTGATGCGAGGGTGGAGCGAGGTTGGAGCGATGGTGGAATGAAGGGTGGGGTGTGGAGAAGGTGATCAAAAATTGATACCAAAGTACAAGGATACATCTACTGTATTTATTCACATCCTTTGCGCGATCCACTCCTTGGGATTCTCTCCTTCCCTTTTCACTTTCCCGCGGCTTTTTCTCTTCTCTCCCCCTCTCCACCCTTCTACATGTCCATCTCCGCTCAATACACTCATTCCTCTTTCCGAAAAGAATCTTAGGGGCAGAAAGTGTGGAGAGGAGTGAGCAGGGATGGAAAGCGGAGAGAATTAAATGAAGTAGATGCAAGTAAATCATCCTGACTACTTTCTTATCTAGCCGTTTCTTTTTTCAAAACTACTGTAAAGTTCAATTGTGATTGCCTTTTCCAGCTCCATCTTATATATATATTTGCTTGCAAAGATCAAAATAAAAATGTATGTCTACTTTCTTTTTTGGACATACTTTTCAGTGTGCATTGGAACAAGTCTCTTAAGACATGATTCAAAAGCAGCAGTGCCATTACAAAGCATAGGGTGGACTAAGGCATTTTGCCTCTCAGGCAATGTAAAAGTGCATGCTTTTCATTGCTTTTTCTGTGAGGGGGGAGCGAGGGCGGAGCGAGGGTGGAGTGAAGGGTGAAATGAAGGGCCAAACATTGATACAAACGATGCATATTTATTTCGTTTTTTGCTTGATCCACTGCTTGTGCTCCTTCCCTTGCCTTTTCACTTCTCCGCAAACTTGTTCTCTTCCATCCCCCTCTCCACCCTTCTACATGTCCATCTCTGCCTCACTCAACACCCTCATTCCTGTTCTGAAGATAAGGTGCTAGGGGACAAAGGGGTGAAGAGGAGTGAGCATGCATGGAAAGCGGAGAGGGTTAAATGAAGTTGGGGTGATGGGCAGGGTCGCGATGAAGGGTTGGGCGGTGGGGTGTAGTGAAAGGCAAATGGGTGGAGAGAAACAAAATACGACACATACATAAACAATTCATCCGGACTGCTCTTTTATCTATTTAGCAATTTCTTTCAAAACCAATTTGAATTTCAGTTGAAATTGTCTTGTCCAGCTCCATGTTAAATTTGCTGTCAAAGAACAGAACAAAATTGTCTTCTAGTTTCTCTTTGATTTTTTCAATTTTCGTTGGAATAATTCTCTTTAGATATGATCCAAAAGTGGCGGCCGCATTTTGAAAGGCAGAGGGTGGGGCCATGGTTTTGGCGCAGGCGATGTAATGTGGCAAAGAACCTAACATTTGGGGCTTGTTTATACAATCCAATCATGATGATTTTGGTGCTGGTTTCTTGTTGGGCTTACCACATTAAAGTGTGTGCTTTTCATTGCTTTTCTTTATGTGCCAATGCTTGTCCATTGATACCTGTCCACCTGTGCTTTTCCTCTCTTTCTCCGCGCTTTGCCTCGCAGCTTTTTCACACCTTCTTGCCTTCCCCCCCTCCACCTACAAAGGAGAAAGAAGCTGAAAATGAGGTGAAAAGGCCTAAAAATGGGTAGGTGGTAAAGTGTGAATGGAAAGGAGGCAGATTGCGAGTGCAGGGGTTAGGAGATTGGTAGGAAGCGTGATGCCATGGTCCGGCCAGGATGGAGTGAGGGTGGAGCGAGGGTGAAGCAAAGATCGAGCAAGGGCAGCAAGGGCTCAATGAAGGGTGGAGAAGGTTGCACAAACTTGAAAACGATGCATATTTATTCAAATTGCTTGCGTTCTTTACCGTTTTTTGAATTCGCTACCCCTTGCCTTTTTCACTTCTCCACGGCTGCTTCTCTTCTCTCCCTCCGTTCCTGTTCCAAGGAGAATGTTAGGGGCTGAAAGGATGGAGGAGTGAAAAGAGATGTAAAAACGGCGAGGGTTAAGTGAAGTTGGGGTGATGGACAGGGTTATAATGAAGGGTCGAGCAGAGGGGTGAGGTGAAAGGAGAAGAAAATCTTCTTGCAAGTGCCTGTCAAACTTTTAACATAGACCCGGGCAAGCCGGCGGCGGAAGTTTCCCAAACATAAATGACCTATAGTTCAAAGACAACCTGTCCCGACCGTGTCCTTCCCTCGACAACCGTTTGATTTTTTCAGCGAGAGACGAAGCAAAGTCTGCACACTCCACACTCCACACTTCACACTGCACTTTTCGCACTCCAAACTTGAAACTTCACACTCCACACTTCACACTTCACACTTCGCACTTCTCACTTCCCACTGCTTCCTTCACACTCCAAACCTCAACACTTCACACTTCACACTGCGCGCTTCGCTCTCCAAACTTAAACTTCACACTCCACACTTCACACTTCACACTCCACACTTCACACTTCTCACTTCCCACTGATTCCTTCACACTTCACACTTCACACTGCACTCTTTACGCCCCACACTTCACACTGCACTCTTTACGCCCCACACTTCAC